GGTTTTCGCTGATTACGAAAAACTTTTGAAACAATAATAAATACAAAATTTTCCCCCGCAATCAGTTGTTAAATATACTACTTTACTTACGACCCCAAAGTTTACCACGTGGAGGAATGCGGTCGGATTTTACACTTTTTTATTTATTTTGTTTTTTTAATATTTTTTTTGTTTGTTCTTATATTGGATCCGCCATTTTCAAAACCGATATTACATTTTTAATCTACAACATCAATAAATCCCAAGTAACAACTTTTAAGTAAATCTGATAAATTTTTTAAAATGTGGCGCCAGCCATATTCGAACCGCCACATTGTATTTTAAAAATCTGATGCTAGATTCGTAATCAGCGACCCCGAAAACCGTCGAGTAACGAGTTTAAATGAACCGGACGAGTTTTTAAAAATGTCGTCCGCTATATTGGATCCGCCATTTTAAATTTTTAAAATCGGAAATAGGATTCATAATCAGCGACCCTGAAAACCACCGAGTAACGAGTTTTAAATGAATCGGACGAGTTTTTAAAAATGTCGTCCGCTATAATGGATCCGCCATTTTGAATTTTTAAAATCTGAAATCGGATTTATAATCAGCGACCCTGAAAACCCCCGAGTAACAAGTTTCAAGTAAATCTGATTAATTTTTTTTAATGTCCGCCATATTGGATCCGTCATTTTGAATTTTCAAAATCTGATATCGGATTCGTAATCAGCGACCACGAAAACTCCTGAGTAACAAGTTTCAAGTGAATCCGATGAATTTTTGAAAATATCGTCCGCCATATTGGATCCGCCATTTTGAATTTTTAAAATCTGAAAACGGATTTGTAATCAGCGACCCCGAAAACCCCCGAGTATCAATTTGTGGACAAATCTGTGTGTTTTTGTAGCCAAAAATCTGCTTGCGTCTATACACGTCATCGACAGTTTGAGCCCACCTGCACCATGACGTGTATACATGTCATCGACTGCCAAGGGGTTAAGGCCTTTTTTGGAATAATAATAAATATAAATTGTTAAACAGTGTCTAAATTTCCAATATAATAGCAGCAATGGTTTTGCCTGTTTTAATTTTCGCCCTATTTCTAGTAAAATATATACGAATTTTGTTATTAATTCTTTTTCGTTTTCGTACTTAACTGCTTCCAAAGATGTCGAAAAGTACAACTTTTCTTAATTCATATCGCCTTGTCAAGAACATTTTACAACTTACAATGAATAAAATATTTAACCAAAAGAGAATTAAAGTTAAGTAATAAGTGCTGTGATTGCTAGTAAAATATTTTATAAATTCCTAAAAAATAAAAGTAAATATGCAAAACCTATCCTCACTTCATGTGAACAATAAGGAAGAAGAGAATAAACAATTACAATGTAAAAATATGGGGGTCGGTTTCGGACCACCCCCACTATTTTCACAAAATGTTTTGCCAATCACTTATATCAATGGAATCAATTCAATTTGAATGTTGTGCGTTGAAGTTAAGGTGATACACAATCAAAATTAATTTCGTAAAAATTTTCCTGTATTCAAAAAACACTGTTTAAGGGACCGTCCATAAATTACGTAACACGTTTTTAGTGAAATTTTGAACCCCCCCTCCCCCTATGTAACAAGTTGTAACAAAATCGTTTTACACCCCCCCCCTCCTTATCAATGTTACGTAATTTTTAAAAATATTTTTTTACTAACGTTTTTCGAAACAAATTTGTTTATTACTGCTATTTTTAGTATTTATATCGTACAATAGCAATACAAAATTAAGTTAAATATAAAAAACATTTAGAGGAATAATTTTATTAATCATACTGAACAACCAAAAATATAACATTGATTTTTTAACAATAAAAATTGTATATTATTCCCAAGAATCGGTTCGCGAAATGATTCGATTTTTACTTATATTGAAGTGGCGGCAAGGGACAGCTTTTCAAAAATTTATCCATTATAAAGAGATTAAGTTCCTTATAAATATTACGTAACAATGATGATTGACCCCCCTCCTCCCATGTAACATATGATAACATTTTCTCGAACCCCCCCTCCCCCCTAAACGTGTTACGTAATTTATGGACAGCCCTTTAGCTCGAATTCCGTATAGGGGGCCGTCCATAAATTACGTAAGACATTTAGGGGGAGGGGGGGGGGGGTCAGCAAGATCTTACGAACAATAGAAAACATGGCGCTAATGTATGTAAAAAATCTTACGAGGGGGAGGGGGGGGGTCAAATTTTCCAAACAAATGTCTTACGTAATTTATGGACAGCCCCTAGGTCAAAAATTAATTTAAACAATGCTAAAATCTAATATTGCTTGAATCTTCAAAATGAAATCAAACGCATTGGGGGCCGTTCATAAACTACGTCACACTATTTTGCCTAATTTTTCCACCCCCCCCCCTACCCCTCCCCTAATAAAATTCAATTATTTTCAAAAATTTTAATAAAATCCATTGCAGAATTTCAATTATTTTCAAAAGTAATAATATTCTTCGCAAAAATTAAATATTGTTCAATATCTACTACTATTTTCATAAAATTTGCCAAAAGAATTTAATTATTTAAAAAAAAAATTTAATAAAATTCTACAAAAACTTTTAATTATTTTCAAAAAATAATAAAAATTTCACAAGAATTTCATTAATAACAAATTTTTTTTATAAATTTCTTCGCAATCATTCAACTATTTTCATAATTAATAAAATATTTACCGGGGTTTAATTATTTTCATAAATAATAAAATTCTTTTTAGGAATTCCATTATTTTCAATAGAAAAAAATTTGTGAAAAAATTTGCCATTTGTGACGTAGAAATTAACTGATGAATCGAATTAATATATTTAAATTTTCAACCCGAAACATTTGCATCGAATCCCGTCCAAGAACACACTCTGCTACTCGCAACTCTCCAGCTTCCGCAAAACACAAAATCTCATCGGGGAATTCTTCCAAGACGATGCCGTGATGCAAACCGGTCAACTGAACAACGAACAACCAACGAACTATTCAAACTCGACCGTTGAGACGCTACCAATTTTCTCTACTCTTTGGCACTCATTAATGCGCTCTAAAAATTCCTCGGCATCATCCCTCTCACTAGCGGAAAATTTAATATCCCAGTCTTTGAGTATTTTAATTGTTCGCGAGCTATGGTGATGATGCGTCCCGAGGAATTTTTAGAGCGCATTAATGAGTGCCAAAGAGTAGAGAAAATTGGTAGCGTCTCAACGGTCGAGTTTGAGAGTAAGAGTTTGAGTAAGTTTGAGAGTTTGAGTTTCAATAGAATTTTAATCGAATTCCCCGAAAAAATTCTTAAAAATTTTATTAAAAATAGTCCAAAAAATTTAATTATTTAAAAATTTGTTGATAAAATTTTTAATAGGAATTGAATTCCAAGAAACATTCAATTATTCAATAAATTATTTATTTTTGTATTTAAATAATTGAATTCTGGTAGAATTTTCTTATAAACATTGATTTAAAAATAGATTTCAGTTAAAATCTTAGATTATAATAATTGAATTCTTTCGAAGAATTTCATTAAAATTTTAAAAATAATTGAATTTTATTGAGACATTTTTTTAAAATTGTCTTAAAAATAATTGAATTTCTACCAAAAAAACTTTTATCAAAACTTTTTAAAATGTTTGAATTTCTGCTAAAATTCTGATATTTTTGAAAATAATTGAATTCTTTTGAAGAATTTTATTAAGACTTTTGAAAATAATTGAATCACTGCAAAGATTTTTATTATTTTACGAAAATATTTAAATTCTTGCGAAAAATTTTATTAAAATTTCTGAAAGTCATTGAAGATCTGCTAAGAATTTTGTTATTTTTAATTTATGCCAAGAATTTTATTAAAATTTTTAAAAATAATTGAATTCTTGTTAACTTTTTACAAGAATTTAATTATTTTTGAAAATTTTAATAAAATTCTTCGCAAGAATTCAATTATTTTCATAAATAATAAAATTCAATGCAGAATTTCAATTATTTTTAATACAATTTTAATCGAATTTCTCGAAAAATGTAATTATTCTTAAAAATTTTATTAAAATTCGTCGAGAGAATTTAATTATTTTAAAATTTGTGGATAACGATTTTTTATGGGAATTGAATTTTATGAAACGTTCAATTATTCAATAAATTATTTATTTGCATTTTATTTGTATTTAAATAATTGAATTCTAGTAGAATATTCTACTAAAAATTGATTTTCATTTTATAAAAATGAATTTCAGTTAAAATTTTAGATAATAATTAAATATTAAAAGCAATATAGCGTGAATTTTAAAAAATAATTGAATTTTGTAATTAATTTTTTTTTGAAAAAGTTCAATTGAATTTTTTTAATATTATTTTTAGTTTCTATTTTCTAATATGTATTTAATTAAAAAATGTACGAATAATTGAAATTTCGTAAAATTGAATATTGTAAAGAAATGAATTTGAAAATTGTCAAAGAACTTTTTCGAAAATTATTAAAAATAATCGATATATATAGAAGAATTTTGGATAAAAATTCTTAAAAATAATAATTGAATTGATAATGATTTTAATTATTATAAATTATTTTTATTAATAATTATTATTATTATAAAACATGAAGAAATCGATGACTTCGAGTCGAAGACTCGGAGTTATCGATTTCTTCATGTTTTATAGTTATGAAAAATGAAAAATTGAATTTCTAGTTATAAGTAAAATGTTCTCTTATTTGATTCGGCCTGATTCTATTTTTGTCAGTTGGTCCGTAATTTTTAATTTTTGGTCCGTAAAGTCCGTATTTTCAAATACTTTCACTGCTTCCAGCCCTGATTACTATTTACTATTATTGTTTTTATCTATTAATTCTATTGTTTCTACCTGTAAATTATCATTTTTTTACCCCATAAAAAGTATAATATACCTTATAAATTTGTTTCATTTTAATTTGATTATTTTTAAATTCTAAATTGTTTGCAATTAATTAATAAAAATAAACAATTTTTTTACGAATTGAAATAACTTATATATTTCTTTGCAAACCTTAATTAAATTAATATATATGTACAGTATGCATAATAAATGCATAGAAAAAAAACTTACACATTTACGAAATAATATACAAAATGACGAAAAACGCAAAAATGTTAATAATCATTAAATGATTATGAAAATGCATTACACTGTCCAAGTGTAAGTATAGAAACTCCAGCGGCAGTTAAAATCATACACAGATATCTACCTGTTATAGGAACACGATAGAGACGAGCACAAATTTTTAACGACGAAGTATATAATAGAATTGTGTCTAAATCCTGGCCAGACGTTCCTTGATAGACGTAAGGACGAATGCGAACCTCGTGGCCAATATTTTGTATCATTGAACATGTTGTTGTTAATCGAGCTGCCTGAAAATTTACAATTCTAATGATTATTCGAAAACAATTAAATAAATTAAATATATAATAAGAACAAAAAATACATTATAAAAAATAATAATTTAGAATAGTTATAAAAGAATAATAATAAAATTAAAATAAAAAATAGAATCTGAGAAATAATAATAAAATAAAAATAAGAAAATAAATAATAAAACGAAAAAATAGGTAAATTCTAAAAAATACCTGAACGAATGGAACTATTGACAATGATATCCACAGAATTACATTAAGTATAGCAATACAAGTAGCAGGGCTGTCGTGAAAATTAATACTATCGACTTTAAATAACCAGACGATTCCTGCTAAGGCCCAGGATATATTAATTACAGTATAAATGCAAACTGCCGGACCAAGTTCATCATTAAAGTACTTTAGAAGCGTTTTAAATTCGCTGATTTCCTGCAGAAAGAAAAAGAAAGAATTCAAAAATAGTTTTTACTTTAATTCGATAATTAAATATATTGACGATTTTTTATACGAAGAGAAAAAAATTGCTTTTAAATAATTAAAATATAGTTTATTTACGGTTGCCACAAAAATTTCATTTTATTTTCCCCTGTTTTCTAAAAAGAATTTTGACTTTTTCCGTGACCCTAAAGAATATTTTAATTCGCTCTAAAAATAATTAGATATTCAAAAAATGTTTATTTTAAGAATTCATTTATTTATTTAAAGAAAAAAAAGTTCACCTAAAATATTTCTGAAATCCACTTATTTACAATTCAAGTTTACGAAATTATAATATTCCAAAGTATCTTACTAATTCATTTAGTAGTTTAGGCTCTACGTTTGTCTAAATGTCAAAAAAACCAATTTTTTTGAGAAAAATTCAAACATTACCTTCATCCATTCGATTGGCGGTATTGAATGTTGCAGTAATTTCGCCCGAAGAAATGTTAAATGCGATATCAAAAGTTGTCCTTGTAGGCAATAACTCGTGATTATTGTTCCCTGCACCATATCGTGCCACAAGGTACAAATTACTAAAATTATTTTCAATAATTCTTTCACTTTGTGTGGACTATGAAAAGAGAGAAATAAAAAATTAATTTCACAAAAAGGTAATTCGAATAATAGTTAATTAATTAATCACAAAAAAATAATTCAATTTTCTTTCAAATCACCTGTCTTCAACCCATTGAAAACGAATATTTTGTGTGACCATCATGAAAGTGACCGTCGACAGTGCCAAGAGCATCCAAACTCCACTGAGTCCGATAAAGAGCCATAAAATTCTGACAAGTCTCTTTTGATTGCCCCGATTCACAGGCGTCGATGACAGGAGAAATGCCCGTTCCATTAAATTTTGCAGTTGCTCGTTTTCCTTTATTCGAAATAAATAAACTGTGTATAAATATCCAAATAAGTGTAAAGTACTTGGTATAGCGTAATTAAATGCCGCATTTCCGTAACAAAAATCATTCTCCATTGATACTCGCGATGGATTCAATTCCGATTGATATATTTCAATGGGTGGCTTCACTTTGTAACAGAATCCACGATCTCTCCTGAAATTCATTCATTCGAATTAAAATTAATACTTTATTAAATTTAATTCTAAATAATTCAATTTTATTAATCTCTTATATCATTAATCAACATTGGTTGATTAAATGTCATTAGTTCGTATTCAATTATTTATGTTTTTCTTTCTTTCAGTACTTTTTATACGAAAGGGCATTGGCCCTTTTATATATGTACGTGAATAAACAAAATAAATAAATTATTTTCATAAATTATAAATTCTAAAATAAATAAAAAAATAAATTAATAAAACATTGATAAAGTATTAATAATTAATAATTATTATGTAAGTATTACATATTATTTAATATAATATTTCTTCTATGTTGATAAGTGTAAATAATTAAAACTATTTTCGATTTTGGAACTAAATTAATTTCTTTACCTGAAACAAGCCATAAATTGCAACACATATCCGATGCACATGAAAATAGTGACCTGCACTGTGTGAAAATTGACCAAAATACAGTAACACGAACTATGTTCTGAATCATCGCTGCTTGTCGGTCGTAAGCCCATAACTCCCAATAATCTTAAATACGGTCTCAAAATTTTATGCTTACAATAATGTAAAACTGCCGATGTATTTAAATTTTCATAATCTGGCATTTCTGCTATTTCTCCAATCTGAAATGAAAGAGGAAGTAAGTTTAATTAATTATTCCATTTTTTCTAAACAGAAATTATTATAAATAACTTCCATTTTAATAATCGTTAAAAATAGTTTAAATAGTTTAAAAAAAAGGTATACATATAAATGATTGAAAAAAACAAATTTTTATTAATGCAAAATACGGTTAATGGTATTTATTTTATTAAAAAAAATCTGAATTCTATTCTTTTTTATGTCTTGTTCTATGTAAAATTAAAAAAATAATTTATAGAAATTCCATATCACTTTTGTTTTGAGAATAAGATTAGTAGAAACAATTTTTGTACACTTTTGAAAATGATCAAATTTTTTCAAAGAAATTTAATTAAAATTGAACTTAAATTGCATTTTTCTAAAGAATTTTATCAAAAGATTTAAAAATAATTTAATTCTATTAAAATTACTGAAAATAATTGAATTCTTTCAAGAAATATTTTTTTTAAATAATTGAATTATTTAAAGGGATTTTAATAAAATTTTTAAAAGTAATTAAATTCCATCAAGAAATTTAATTGAAAATAATTGAATTCCTCCGAAGAATTTTATTATTTATGAAAAGAATTGAATTCTTGTCAAGAAAGTTAATACAATTTTTGAAAATAATTTAATAGTTTCGTTAAAAATTAAAATTCATTCGAGAAATTTAGTTAAAATTGAATTAAGAATAATTAAATTATTCTTCTTAAGAATTCTATCAAAAATTTTTTAAAATAATTGAAATCATTTAACAAATTTTATAAAAATAATATACTTTATTAAAAAAATTTAATTTAAATTGTACCTATTGAAAATTATTAAATTGCTGCAAAGAATTTTTAAATTATGAAAATAATTCAATTCTTTTAAAGAAATCTATCAAAATTTCTGAAAATAATAATTGAAATCTTTTAACGAATTTTATAAAAATAATATAATTGATTGAAAAAATTTCATTTAAATTGTATTGGAAATAATTAAATTGCGGCAAAGAATTTTATTAATTATGAAAATAATTCAATTCTTGCGACGAATTTTATTTAAATTTTCGAAAATAATTGGATTATTTTCAGGAATTTTATTACAATTTTTTTAAAAGTATAATTGAATTCCGTAAAGAAATTTAGTTAAAAATAATTGAATTCCTCTGAAAAATTCCATATTATTTATGAAACTTATTGAATTCTTATAAAGAATTGTACTCATTAATAAATGATAATAATAATAAATTAGTTAATAAGTTAATATTTTTAAAAATTTTAAATCTGAAATCATTCAAAAATGGAAAATATTTGAAAATAATAATAGAATTTGATGTAATAATAAATAAAGAAATAATATTAAATTATATATATTTTACCTCGGTACTGCGAAGCTGTAAATCCGAGAGCAAAGACGGAGTTGATGATCGCAAACGATCCTGACGATTGTCATCAGACGATGTTGATTCCTTTTCACTCGACGAGCCATTATTTTCCGGTTTTGTCTACATAAATAGAAAATAAAGAAACTTTTAAAACAAATTCAAAATAATTCGAAAAATAAATAAATATCGATACTTCACTATTTTTCGCCATATCTTAACAATTGTCTTATATCCCATATTCAATAAAAAAGAATATCTTCCCTCTAGTTATTCCTCGCGAATATCGAAAGTCAATTTTAATTGAAAATGAGAATCTTCCTCATAACACAATAACTCTAGTTTGAGTGTCGATAAGCGACTTTACATCAACACTCAAACGTTAGAAATAATTGTAAAATTAAAACAAAAACAAGAAAAAAGCAATTAAAACGATTAATAAGTATTATCAGTTATTATCAATAAATAAGAATTATTCCTCTTATTATTATTTATTATTATTATTATTATTATTATTATTATTATTATTATAAAAAATTAGAACAAACTCACCAAAGACATTTTTGTTTGTTATAAAGCATGGTCCTTTTAAACTTTTGAAAAAGAGAGACTTTATGGTATTTATAAATTATTCACCAATACTGCCGCTTTATTGACATATCACTAACACAAGATGACTTTTCACCTCTCTTTTTGATAACTGACGGATCCAAATACTCATTTACTTTAAACACGTATACAATAAACGTAAATTTTTCTCTTTTCGGGAAATAATTAAATTGCCAATAGTAAGAATTTTGTAAAAAAAAGTCAATTTTAAATTAGAAAAAAAAATGAAAAAAAAATTTTTATTTACAATTTACAATCGTTGAGTGTAGAAAAAAACTTATTTAAATTTTCGTTTCCCTATATTATGAGCTGGCCGCAATAGACCTTTGTATTCTCTTCTGTTAATTGTTTGACGGTCGTTTGTTCTTTTCTGATGCTTGCGCTGAAAATAATAATACATTGTAGTTAATCTTTATGTGTGAATTAATAACGAATAACCAATTAAGACAATATTTTCTCGTGAGTTTTATTTCAAATATTTTCTTCTTTGCAATTGTAAATCTTGTGCTTTTTTGAAAATAACTCTTTTTATTAGAGAAAATAAAAATAACTAAAATTTTTATCTTTTTCAATTTCAATTAATTTTCTTTTCTAATATTTAGCATAGAATTCAAATAAAATTTTTTATTTCAAATTACTTTTAGGGTAGGATTTTAAAATTAGATTTGTAATTTTACCTTATCAATAGTAAAAGACATTTGTCTATTTCCACCAGATCCGGTAACTTTCAAATTGTTGTCCTCCTGTTCTTGTACTCTTCTTCCAAGACTTGATCTATTAGCAAAAAAAAATGATATTACAGATTTTCTACAAAATAATTTCATTTACTTTATAATAAAAAAAAATCTATATTAATAATCGTTGTACTCCAAAAACATATTTACACTTTGAAGTTAGTTGTTGACATTATAGTTTCCTAACTTTTTAAATTATTTTTCTTATTAATATTTTCAATTTTAAAATCAAAAAATTTGTGAATAATTAAATTCCTTCGAAGAATTTTATCATTTATGAAAATAATTGAATTCTAGTAAAGAATTTTATCAAAAAATTTGAAAATAATTTAATTCCTTCGGAGAATTTTATTATTTAAGAAAATAATTGAATTCTCGTGAAAAATTTTATTAAAATTTTAAAAAATCGTAATTAAATTCTTTTAAAGAATTTCTTTGAATTTTTTTTCAATAATGGAGTTTCTTTAATATTTTAATTGAAAATTTTGAAAGTAATTGAATTTTATAAACAATTTCTTTCAATTTTTTTTAAATAATCGTGTTCTTAATAATTCAAATTAAACATTTAATTATTGAATTTTATTAAAATATTTAAAGAATAATTAAATTTTGCTCAGAATTTTATTAGAATTTTCTAAAAAATGTCATTCATTCGAGGAATTTTATTACAATTTTCTAAAATAATTTCATTGATTCGAGGAATTTTATTAAGATATAGAAAATAATATCTTATTATTTTTAAGAATAAAATACTATTTGAGGTTTTGACAATAATTGAATTCTTTCAAAAAATTTCTTTAATTTTTTGAATAATAATCGATTTTTTTAATGAGTATAATTAATAATTTTACTTTTAAATTTTATTAAAATTATTAATAGAAAATTAAACTCTTTTAAACAATTTTATTAGAATTTTTATGAATAATTAAATCCTTTTGAAGAATTTCATTAAGTTTTTTTTCAAAATAATATAGTTTTTTCAATAATTTTAATTGAAAATTTTGGAAATAATTGAATTAAACAAAGAATTTTTTTTTAATTACATTCTCATAAAAAATGAGAAAGTCTTGGATTTGTGGAATTTTGAGCAATGTCTAATTTTGGTAAATCTTCACGTTTCATGAAGCCTGAATTTGTTGGAGAGCTCATTTCGTTAAAAAAAACAACAAAAATACAAAATTTTGCATTTTTTAAAATAATCGTCTGTTAATAATTATAATTAAATTTTATTTAATTATTTTTTACTATTTAAACAAATAGTGGAATTGTATCGAAGTATTTATTAAAATTTTAGAAAATAATTGGATTATTTCGGAACATTTCATTAAAAATTTAAAAAAAAAATCAATTGTTTCGAAGCATTTATTAAAATTTTAGAAATAAATTGATTTTTTCCAAAAATATTAATAATTTTTTTTTTAAAATTGAATATTATTCAAAAATTTATATTTGAAAACATGAAGTTTTGTAATTTGCATAATAATAATTGGAATATGATTTTAATAAGACAAATAATAAAAGAATAAAATAATAATAAAAAGTTAAAATAATAATAAATAAAATATGGGTAAGACTCCGTCAGAAAAATTACAATTTGCATGGGGTCTTCGGATTATATTCTGTAATTTGGTGAAGTTGTTATATTTGATAACAAAAATAAGTGGAGCAAAGGATTATTAAAAATTTTCAAAATTGTAAAAGTTACGCCATTTTGAATTTTTTTATAAGATTTTTTTCAAATGTGAATATTTCCGAAACAATTTAACGGATTTTAATAAAATTTAAATATGTTATACTTAAAATCATGTTCTTTCAGAATTTTTCAAAAGAAAAAAAAAATTTTTTGTTTTTCTCAAAAAAAAAGTAAAAAAAAGTAAAAAAAAATTTTTTGAATCGATTTATTAAGCACGGGACTGATTTTTGAGTATTTTTCGATATATAATAAAATATTCCTTATAATTTCACCTTTAATTTACGAAAAAGAAAACGATGGAGACTTTAATAGTTTTCGAGATATTGCAATTTTTGTGGAAGCGCGACCACGTTTTAGTGCCAGCGCAGTATCTTTTACCCGGGACGCCTCACAGTGGGATTTTTTACACTTTACTCTTCAAAATTGTCTAGAGCCTACAAATTTTATTGGTTTTGATGCTCTTGGTCTTAAATGAAAGGGGATAAAATTTCTAAGAGATCCCTTTAAACGGATTTTTAAATTTTTAATTGTTTATTTATTTTTTTGTTACTCAAAGTAGGCTCTAGACAATTTTGAAGAGTAAAGTGTAAAAAATCCCACTGTGAGGCGTCCCGGGTAAAAGATACTGCGCTGGCACTGAAACGTGGTCGCGCTTCCACAAAAATTGCAATATCTCGAAAACTATTAAAGTCTCCATCGTTTTCTTTTTCGTAAATTAAAGGTGAAATTATAAGGAATATTTTATTATATATATCGAAAAATACTCAAATATCAGTCCCGTGCTTAATAAATCGATTCAAAAAATTTTTTTTACTTTTTTTTACTTTTTTTTTTGAGAAAAACAAAAAAATTTTTTTTTCTTTTGAAAAATTCTGAAAGAACATGATTTTAAGTATAACATATTTAAATTTTATTAAAATCCGTTAAATTGTTTCGGAAATATTCACATTTGAAAAAAATCTTATAAAAAAATTCAAAATGGCGTAACTTTTACAATTTTGAAAATTTTTAATAATCCTTTGCTACACTTATTTTTGTTATCAAATATAACAACTTCACCAAATTACAGAATATAATCCGAAGACCCCATGCAAATTGTAATTTTTCTGACGGAGTCTTACCCATATATTAATTAAAAAAGAATAAAAAAATATAATAATAATGAAATATAATAAAAAAAATTGGTAGTAAAACTTAACATTTTAAACATGCAAATAAATTAAAAAATTTACTTGTTGCTTTTACGAATTTGCAGTCTAGAACCATTGAATTGAACAGTTTCTTTAATTTCGAATAATTTAGATTTTTTTCGACTCTGTTCATCCTTCTCTTGCTCTTCGTCTAAATTTTCCTCCTCCTCCTCCTTCTCTTCCTCCTCCCTCTGTCTCTTTCTCTTCAACATTCTGTATTTTTTCTGCACTTCTTTTGTCCAAACCTTCTCGTCATCAGAACTACTTTCCTCGAAATCTTCATCTGCACTAGTTTTACCTTCAAACGAACGAAAAAAACGAAAAAATATATTTAAGCAAATAAAAGATGTCTATAAAAATAAGATTTCTTTTTTGAATTTTACTAACCATCTTCTTCTGCCTCTTCTTTTTCTTCTTGTATTGCAGCCTCTTTCATTTTTTCTTCTTCTTCAAGTTTCTTACGTTTACGCTTCTCCGCATGAGAAATCACAGGATTTAATAACATGTATTCTTCCGCATTTGTATCAATTTGGAAGTCTGGATTTGTGAATAATTCCTTGAAACGATCGTCCTGCATTAAATTCTCTACTGTTTTCTTCTTCTTCGTCTTATCCATGTCCATATATTTCAAAGCGAGATCCTTATTAACAGCTGGTAGAGTTTTCTCCAACTGGATTCAAAACAATAAAAAGAAAGTTAAGTTCATTGAACTACGAGACTTCGCATTTGTTAATTAAATAAAACCAAGTTTCAATTTTTCAGAATAATATTTTCGTGAATTCGATTATCGTTAAAATATGTTAATTATTATTTACAACTAGAAAAGAGCTAGAAAAAGGATCCAAATAGCAAATAAAGTAGTAAATAATAATTTTTGATGGATTGGGAATAAAACGTATTTTAATAGAATAGAAAAAACTTACGTGAATTTTACTGGCGCGCTCCTCGGCAATCTTTTGCTTAATTTTCTTTCTTTTGTGCTCCTCCAAATCGAAGGGTTGCAAAAGATCCCGGGCCTTTTTATACAAACTTGTGTGCATATAGAAACCGTGCATATAAGCTCGCAGTAAATTGCTTCCCTTGAGATGAGAAAGACCCAATTCGTCGAGTTCTTTTTCAGTAATGAATTTATAATTATCGTAAACAATTTCCTGTGTCTCTTCCTCCAATTCTTCAGTGAGATTATCCAGAAATCCACACCATTTTGGCGCCGGTCCCAAACTAGGAATATAATACGTTTGTATTTTTGCGTCTTCATTCGCAATGAAGAACATTCCCGTATTTGGAACAATGCAGAGATCATTGAAGTACGAAGTCGCTTCCACTGCCGTTAATAAATTGCCCTGCAATATTTTTTTTTTTTTGTTAGAAAATGTCATTAATAATAATCATTAGTTTTAGAATGATAAATTTTAGTAATTAGAATTTTTAAATAAATGCAAATAGAATTTTTAAATTATAAATTTTAATAGAATCTATTATTAATTTTAGTAATTGAAAATATGAAGTACTTACATTATTTTTCTCCCATATTCTGACAATGGAACTGTCCATTGAATAAATAAGATCCATATTCTTATGGAATTCGATATTTTTAATGGGCAAACCGTAATTATGATCCTTGGTTGAAAATGGTTTGTTTGATCGTACATCGTAGAGTAAAATTTGACCAGTTGCGGTACCAACGGCCAGAGTTAAACCACCTTGACAATTTAGTGCCGTGACCGAAGGCACTGATTTTAATCTATAAATTATCAATTTTTTCAATAATTATATTCCTTTGGCTTTATAAAAAATTGCAATTATTTTGCATAAAAGAAAATAATACTAACGAACTATCCTGTGAGACGCAATAAAAACCACAATCAAGAGTTCCAGTTTTATTTCTCGTTCGAGGATCCCAGGCGTCGACTTTTCCCTCCTCAGTTCCAGTGAAAAGCATATAATGAGCTGGATTTATAGTACATTTATTTATCGAAGAAGCCTCCGATGAATAGGACTGCAAAAATTGACCTCTTTCCAGATTTAATCGGTAGATTTCATTACTGTCGAAAAATAGAAATTTATCAAAAAATTTCGGATTAAAAACGTCTATAAATGTTTAAAAAAAAAGATGAAAAAAGTTTATATACTTTTAAAAACGTCAGAGTTGACACAAAAATTTAATTTTGTTTTTCTTCGACTTTTTCCTGATTTCCAGACAAAATTTTGTCATTTTCCCTGACACTAAAGAATATTTTGATTCACTGCAAATATTATTAGAAATCGAGCACTCCGAGTCTTCGACTCGGAGTGATCGATTTCTTCTTGTTTCAAAATAATTAAAGATGACTAAGTGATAAAATCATTATTGTATATTATAAAAATATTGTACTTCTTCAAAATTATTTTCATCATTTCAATTCAATTAAAGTTCTTTGAGAATTTTCAAATCTATTTCTTTACAATTCAATTTTACAGAAATTTCGATTATTCGGGAAATTTTTCAATTAATAACATATTAGAAAATAAAAACTCCAAATAATTTTTTTTAAAAATTAATTCTACAGAATTGTTAGTTAAAAGTATGAAAAATTAAGATTTTCGAAGATTTTAATTTGAATCCTTTTCAGAATTCAATTATTTCTAAAAATTCATGCTATAAGTAATACTTTTAATATTCAATTATTTTCTAAAATTTTAGCTGTAGATAATTCATTTTTAAATTAATTTTTATTAGAAACTTCTACGGGAATTCAATTATTTAAATATAAATTAAATAAATAATTTACTTAATAATTGATTACTTCTTAAAATTGAATTCTCATACAGAATTTTATCAACAAATTTTTAAATAATTAAATTCTCTTGGAAAATTTTATTACAATATTAGATATTGAAAATCATTAAATTGAGGGAAATTTTTGAAAGTAATTCAATTTATGGGAAGAATTCATTTTTAAATAAATTTTTATTAGAAAACTCTACGAGTATACAATTATTTAAATACAAAAAAAATTATTTATTGAATAATTGAATGTTTCTTAAAATTGAATTCTCCTAAAGAATTCTATCAACAAATTTTTAAATAACTAAATTCTTTCGACGTATTTTACTAGAATTTTTAAGAATAATTCCATTTTTCGACGAACTCGATTAAAATTGTATTAAAAATAATTGAAATTTTGCCAAGAATTTTATTAAAATTTTTGAAAATAATTGAATTTTGGAGTAGAATGTTATTATTTTTTATAAAGCTAACTGAAATTTTGACGAGAATTAAAAAATTTTGTTTAACATAATTGAATTTCTGTGAAGAATTTTATTACTGTTGAAAATAATTGAATTTCTGCAATCAGTTGTAACTTCTCCAAAATTCAATTTATTTTAGTGTTTTTAACTAAAATTCTTCTATAAATACATTATTTTTAATAATAAATTAAATATATATTAAAAAATTTAACTAATTTCAAAAGAATTTGAATTATTAATATTTTTCAAAAATCTAAGCTATTTAAAATTTCTAATTAAATTCATTGAAAATTGAAATTTTATAAAATTTCAAATTGAAACCTTTTGATGTTCATCAATTTATGAAAATTGTAAACCCAACTCTTTTAAAATTCAAGTAATTTTGAAATATTTAGGTAAAATTATTCATTAAATAATTTCTAAGTATTAATTTTATGATAGTTAATCAAGAATTAAGTTATTTAAAAAGAAATTGTTTGTGAGAAATAGAAAGTGTTGAAGGTTTTGTATTAGAATTTGTAGTAATTTCATAGTTTAAGAGGCAAACAAAAAAGACACCAAAATTCAGAATTTTCTTCTGAATTCTAAAAATTTAATTTTTTCCAGTACTTTTAATAAAATCCCCGACTTTTCCCTGATCTGTGGCAACCCTGAACTTCTATTTTAAATTAATTTAATTACCTGTCTCCTACGACAAATAGGTCACATGACGGATAGTGATATTTCATATCACGACCAAAACGTGGAACTCGTAATCGAAAATATTTCCCCGCTGCTGAATGAATTTCGACATTTCTATCGTCTTGTAAAAATACGAGCTTCAAACAAATAAAATTGTTATAAAATTAAAAATAAGATAAATTATTAAAGGTATTTTATAAATAAAAAAACAAAATGAAAAACAAACAAAAAGTTGTGATTTTTAAAATACTAACTTTACTGTAATCGTCAGACAAAATCTCGAACGTAACCACTTCGGCATCGAAGCATCTTTCAAATTTAAGAGATAAATTATTTACGTCGAAGCATTTTACTCTCGGTTTGTAAGTCCCAGTGGCAAATACATATTGACCGTCATTTGAAGTTCTCACACTTGTACTAACTACAGGCATATCAAAGTCTTGAATGAGCTCAATTCTCCTTCTGATGTCTAAAAATAATACAAAAACATACAAAAATTAGTGAAACTTATCTAAACAATGCCTTCATGAGAAAGCAATAAGTACGGCTTAATAATTATTGAATTTTTTATAAAATCATCAAGAATAACTGTTTTTGTTAATTTAATTTAATACGTTGACTCACCAACATGTTTTTTGGCTAAACTCCTTTTTTTCCTGTCCGTTAACCACTGCGATTAGAATTGAATTATTAATTTACTGTATAGTATAATAAATGTATTCAATATTTATATAAACATAATTATATGCAATATATAAAAATAAAAGTATATGAAATATAATATATTATAGAAATTATTTTTAAATGCGTGCGTAAAAAAGGTAAAAAATGAAAACATAACCTAAAAGGAAACTTACCTCTGGAAGAGATCTCCCAGCGCTTAAATTGTAAATTTTCACATTATTTTGATTTGCCACTTGCATGATTACGCGATAGAATTACTTATGCACACTAACACAATGCATAATTTTTATTAAAAATTTAAAAAACTGTTATTTTCCGGGACTGGAAGACTACATTTGACAAAAAACTGTCAAGCACATGGAGCACATGGGCAGCAAAATTTATAGGTTAGGTTCAAGAATATTTCTTTATATTATACCTTCTGTTTTCTTTTCGCAAACCCCGCAAAACTTATAGTTTTCTATTAGGCAATTTATCATTGGTAATTTAAATAATTTTGTTAGTTATGTTTAAAAAATAAATAAAAATATAGAGAATATATTTCAAAATGTGTTCTTTTGAAAATTAGCGCTTATAGCGAAGAACCAATCAGAACACGTGGTTTATGTTTTTAAAATAAGCGGCAATTTTTAATTTAAAAAAATAAATTAAAACATAACGAAGAAGTTTTTTATTTAAAAAAAAGAAGAAAAAAGAAGTAAAAGAAGAAGAACTGGAAGGGAAAGATGTACAGTTGTAAGGGAAAGATAAATAAAATAAATTATATTTATGAAACTAAATATTATCTTTTAATGGTAAAAATCTATAATTCAACTCTCAAGAATTTTAAACATTCGCTCATTCTTTCACTTTTAACTTTTGAATTTAACTCTAATAAACAAAATACGCAATCATTTGTATTTATAAAACAAAAACAAATTAATTACAAAATTCGTTTAAATCTATATCACAAAACAGATCCTCATCATCTAATAATTTGACCAAATCATTAGAATTTTCACTAACTTTGTTTTCATTGCCCTTCAAGTCATTTTGGGGACAATTATCGCCATGAGAAAAAAAAGAATCGAGGCGCATTTGATTTTTTTTTATAAAAGCCGATGATGATGATGATGAAGAGAACGTTGATGGAATAGTGCAAGGTTTCGTTATTAAAATCCTATTTGAATTTGAAGACGATTCTCCATTGACAAATTCATCAATTTGCTTTTGATCGCTGTCAATGGCAACCTGAACGGAAACATTATCGTCCTTGACCGTAAATTCCTGATCTAATCCAACTTGATTCAGAACTTCATGTTTCCTTTGAATTTTCGGCCATAAATAATCGTCGACTGTATTTTTTCCAATTAAATATTGAATAACAACGCCTCGATCTTGTCCTATTCGATGGACTCTGTCTTCAGCTTGACACAAAGTCTGTAGAAATATTGTAGATTAGATTAAATTGTAAATTGATTTTTGTTTTTAAATAATTATGTAAACTGATTAAATTTGCATATTTGTAAAAGTTTCAAAAAGATTGTATAAGTTTTTCATTTTTTTTAATTATATAAAATATGCTTACTCCTGGATTCCAGAATAATTCAGCGAACACAACGAGCTGAGCGGCTGTCAACGTAATTCCAGCGTTTGCAGCAGTTATCGACAAAACGGCCACTAAAACTTCTTTCTCATCCTGAAATCTATCGACGAAACACTTTCTCTGCTCTGCATTCGTTCTTCCATCAATTCGAATGTACCTGAAAAAATATTGAAATACGTAAAAAATTAAATTATCTAAATTATCTAAAGTAGAATAAAGTGTAAGTGGAATAAATCTCACTGAATTTTCTTTGTCTCGATGACATGGCAAATTGCGTCCAAAACTCCTTGATGATGAGCATAGACAAGAAATTTTTCTCCCGTCTCAAGTAAATCGGTGACATAATTACTAAAAAATTAAAATTTATTCAATTAAAAATTCTATTTTGTTTATTTCTTTTCATATTTAGAAAGTTGGAATTTAAAATTCAACTATAAAAAGTGTTGAAAAGTAAAAAAAGTCAGTACCAAATGGCTTTTTTCTTTGTGACGCTGGATTCGCTGTAATATTTTAAAAGAGCACTGTGCCTCTCAGAATTTGTTAGAGTTTTCTTTTGCAATTTCATTGCCATTTCTTCCATTTCTTTAGTGCCGGCTTTTATCAATTGCGGATCCAACACAACGACTTGTCTATAACAGATAAGAATTAGTAAAATTAATTAATACAATTTTTCGCAATTTTTAAATTAAATTATTATTTAAAATTTAAATGACACTCTCTTTTAAATCAATTCTTATTAAAAATTTCTATGAGAGTTCAATTATTTAAACAAAAAAATAAATAACTGATAAAAATTGTAGAAAATAATTGAATTGAAATTTCATAAATTTAATTTTTGGAGAAGTTAGAGAAAAGTTAAAAAGTAATAAAACTTTAAACTTTTGATTTTTAAAGAATTAAAATTTTTAATACAGAGAAATGTTTAAAAACCTAATTTTTGGTGGAAGTTGTTGAAGAACGTCACTCTTGATTCTTCTTAATAAACAAAAGGCCTTTAAAAGCAAATCCAACTCTTGTAAATTTGACGAACCAGTAAAATTCCAACCAAATGTACTTTTAACCCCATCACAATAACGAATTCCAAATTCAGTGGCTCTGGGAAAAAAGAGACAATTTAAAGGCGTGCAAATTTATAAAATGAAACTGAAATGCTCGTAAATTACATCAAATTGTTTTTTATATTAAAGTATTTAACATCCTCACCCCATGAATTTTGGAAAAATCAATGATATCTGCGAATAAAGTTCCATTGGCCGCGATAAAGCCGGAGTTCCACTGAGAAGAATTACGTGATTAGCGAGTTCCACAATTTTCTCTGCTGCCTGATATCTCGCTGTTTTACTACTTTTTAGAAAATGTGATTCGTCCTAGAACGAAATTTTACAAAACTTACTATTTAATTTAAAATGCCAAACGAAAAATATTATTCATATGTAATTATATGTAAATATTTATAATTTAAAATATTGAAATTAAGATCCAAAAGTTCCGAATGTTCAAATAAACAAAAAATATTTATTTAATTATTCAATAATTTTAATATTACATATTTTGAATATTTAATTCAACAATAAAATTTGTTTTAACAAAATACTTACAAATATTACAACACCAAAAAATTGATTTTGAAAAATATCAATAGAACGAGATAATAAATCGTACGAAACAATGGTAACTTTATCAAATTCAAAGCCTCTATCTTTTGTAGTAAAATGGTTCACTTTCTGTACAGGAACTGAAGGGAGAAATTTGAAAATTGCTTCTGACCATTGGTATCTAAAAAAAAATGGAAATTATTCTTCGGGTTTTAAAAAAAACTTGAGATTTTAAGTGACATTTTAAGTCCTTGAGGGCCAAAAATTTGATGTCCAAAAACTTTGCCATCGTCATGAGTTAGTAGAGGAGAACGGGGCGAGGCAGCCAACGGGGTGAGGCAGCAAATTGCTTCTTATTTCTGCATAATTTTTTCAAATCGTGCGCTATTGATAATGTAGACTGCTTATGGTAGTTTACTTTAGTTGCTAACAGATAGGCATTATTGCTGCAGCAGTTTAGCAATGACAGTATCATTTATGAAAACAGACTTTTTGGATGTAACTTTTCTAAGAGTTATTTTGGTGATTTTAGTTAATAGAGTTACACGAATAAAATTCTTGTAAAGTGATTTTTAATGCAGAATTTAGTGCTGAAGACGATGGGGTTAATGGAATTGCGATATTTTTAATATTACGGGTTTTGTGGATGTTTTCTTAAAAAAGTACTCGTGGGGTTAGGCAGCCAACACTAAATTTTTCGTCTTTTTGAGTTGATTTTATTGGTTCTTCTAAATGTTTTCTCTTTTTTTCCTACTCCAATACATTTTAAACTTAACATTGAATTTTATAAACCATTTTTTAAGAATAACAAATTTATATTTCCTTAAAATGTTAAATTGAATTTAATTAATGTTATTATTATAATATTATTTATATGTAAATTTTTGAATTTTACTAACAAAATAAAAGTAAGTTAAGGACAACTACCTTGTTATGTTTCACTATTTGTAACTTTAAGTTATGTTTTTTTAACTATTAAAATTGTTGGCCGCCTCACCCCACGTTTTTTCAAATATGCCAAAATGTGGTCCTTTGGGAAAAGGGTTGTAAAAATTTTTAAGTGCAACCTACGTCAAAATGTTCTATGGCGATTTTGTAGCCAATAAGACAAGCTTTCTAACGCGATATTAAAATTGAAAAAACTTATTTAAATAACTGCTTCGCTAACCAAAATGTGAAATCTTGGCTGCCTCGCCCCGTTCTCCTCTAATAGTTAAAAAATGTAAAGGTAAGTTAATTTAAAAAACTAAGGAAATAAAAAATATAATCGCTTCATTTTATAAAAGACAAACTAATAATAAATTAAAATATTTATAAATTTTTAAAAGTTTGAAAATCAAATTAAATCTTTTATATTTTATTTTAAATTAGTATTACCTGACTGAAGATGGTGTCACAATAAGTAATGGCCATTCATCTTTATAATAATCAGCAATTCCTAAAGCTTGAATAGTTTTTCCCAGTCCCATATCATCTGCTATCATTAAGCGACCTTTTTTCGTTATTCCAAAACTGCGAATAAAAAAATTGTTATTAAATTTAAATTTTATTATATAGAATATACTGAAATATTATTAAATTAATAATATTGAATTTTTACCTAATTCCTTCCTTTTGAAAAGGCATCAATGATTCCATCAGAGTCTCATCAATAGAAGAAAAATCGACATTCGTTTCCGTCGGTTGATTTGCTTTATCAAAAATCTGAAAAAATAATTTATTTATCACACTATTTTAAACAATTCCAGGCTTCGCACTCGATAATTATGTTTTAATCTTCAGAGAACACATGGGGGTTTTTTGACCTCACGCTTTTTTACGAAAAGCTTTTTATCTTTTTTAATATTTTTAATAAGGATTTTCAAGTATACAGACTTATTCTACGAAGTTTAAACTATATTTAAAAAAATTCTTTAGTTTGATTAGATGAGCAGTTTAAAATTGGTTGAGCTTTGAAAAATGGTCTAAAAAAGAGGTGTGTTCTCCGAGGGTGAAAAAAGTCGCAAAAAGTAGCTTTAAGACTAAAAAAAGTAGTAAAAAAATATCGATAGCAGCTATTAAAAAATTAAATTTGACGGCTAAAAAAACTCGTTTTACTCAATTTACAAAAATTTGATTCAGTATTTCCCTGACTTTTTCCTAATTTCTGTCAAAAATATTTACTTTCTTTTCTTATCTTAAATTAATTGTAAATTTAACTAATCTTTTTAAAATAATTACCAGAATTTAATTTCAAAAAATTTTAATTACAATTTTTTTTCATAATTTCTTAGTTAAAAATATTCAAAACTGGAATAATTTTTGTTGAGTATATAATAAAATAATTTCAATGTAAAATCTTTTTAAAATAAAATTATTCAAAACTTTAAAAATTTTTTGAACATTATTGAATTTCTGAAAAGAATTTTATTAATTTTGAAAATAATTTAACTTTGTGATGAGTTTTATTATTTATGAAAATAATTGAATTATTGCGAAGAATTTTATAAAAAAATTTTAAGCAATTGATTCTTTTTTTAAATTTATGTGAATTCTATTTTACATTATTGAATTCCTCTGGAATTTTTATTATTTTTGAAAATAATTGAATTTCGGCGATGAATTTTTCTATTTATAAAAGTAATTGAAATCTTGACCAGATTTTTAAAAAAATTTTAAACATAATTGAATTTCTACGAAGAACTTAACTACTTTTGAAAATAATTGAATTCTTATGATGAATACTAATAATTTATGAAAATAATTGAATTTTGCAATAAATTTTATTAAAATTCCTAAAAATAATTGAATTTCTGCTGCTAAGAATTTTGATATTTATGAAGATAATTGAATTCTTTCGATTAATTTTATAAAAGAAATTTTAAATAATTATTTTCTTTCAAAAATTTTTTATGAAAATTGCATTGTAAATAATTTAATTTCTGTAAAGATTTTATTTTGTATGAAAATAATTGGAGTTTTTGCAAAGATTTTTATTAACATTTTTTTCTTTAATTAATTGAATTCTTTTGTGAAATTCTATTGAAATTGTTGATTTGAAAATAATTGAATTTCAGTCATGAATTTCATTATTTGAATTGAAAATAATTGAATTCTTGCAAAAAAAGTTTCTTAAGTTTTATCAAAATATGTTGAAGTGATTCTAAGGATTTTATTAAAATTTTTGAGAATAATTTTTTTTTATTTCAATTATTAGCGGATTTAACTAAAAGAAAGAAAAAAGTAGCTTTTAGTATCAGAAATCTAAAAAAGTAATTAAATAGCAAATCGTAAAAACGTGTCAAATAGTAGGTTTTATTAGATGAGTGCGAAGCCTGCAAATCTTTCTTTAAATTTTAAAACGAACTTTATATTTACTTCTTTGGTAAATTTTGGTAGGCCAGTTATTCTGCAATCCGATCGTCTTATAAATTTTTCAAATAGAAGATTATAATCTTTTAAATGAAAATGCCATAATCGCTTTTGTGAATCTGAAAATATTTAGTATTTAATATATAATTTTATGTTTTATGCAATATAAATTCTTTAATACATAATTCTTTTTAATGTGCATATTTGAAAACAAATGAACTATAATATTAATTTCAAATTAAAAAATATAAAAAGTAAATACAAAATTTACCATACGCTTTGCTGGGAATAGTTTTAAAAACTTCAACAAGTGCTGATGAATATTTTGTAAGCTCTACTCCAAATCGATTATTTTGAATCATAACACAATTTCCCGTCACAACATCAGTTTTATTATTCCCATAAAATTTATTTGTATTCAAGGGATCAAAGCGTTTTTGTGTTGGTTTTTGTCGAAATACACCAGACTTGTTCGGAAATGAATTTGTCGATGATGTTCCTTGAAAATTTGTTTTATTCTGTAAATTAGGCACTGGCACTTTTGCTGGCGTATTTTCTGAATTTGTATTTTTCTTTTGCTTCAAAGCCAAAGCCGAAAGTCTTTTCTTCTCGATTTCTTCCTTCGAGTACATTTTTGATTTTGTCTCAGAGATTGGATTTTGTGAACACAAATATATACAAAATAAATTTCAGTAAATAAATTTTTTTCTAATCACGGCCAACCTGAAAATTAAAATGAAATAGAATTGAGTAATTTGTAAATTAAGTTTTTATTTTTAACATTAGAGAATAACATATTGAAATATACATATATATTTATATTGTCAAAATTTGTAGGTTATGTTATTTGTTTTGAACAAATGTTATAAAAATATTATAAGAAAAAAAGAATTACAATTCGAAATTTTTTTACAAACATTTTTTAACGGTAATTTTTATACGCGGTAATCCTATTCTGTATTTTTTTTAAACTAATCTAACGCCATAAGTAACAATTTTCTGGGTTTGTTTCCCTGGTTTCCCTGGTTTTCTGTCAACTCTCAACTGTGAAAATGGTGAAAATTACGCATATACTATATAGTCGGTAATGTAGAATGAACAACTTTAAGAGGGAAATTCAAGCAATTTTAAAATTATTAATAACTAAATAATCTTCGGCGTGAAAAGCAATATTTAATTTATTATTATTAACACAAAAATTTTAATGTTTTTATTTCTTCAATTTTTAAATAATTTTATTCACTAATTGACTATTATAATTAATTATTATTTGCTAAAAAATTAATAAAATAGTTCGAAGCAATTCAATTATCTTCATAAATTAACATTTTTTGTTAGAATTTTCATTTATTTTCATAAATAATACAATTTTTCGAAACAATTTTCAAAAATTTTGCTAAAATTCTTCGCAAAAATTTGAATGGATTTCTATGAAGGAATTTAATAATTCAATTATTTTCAATACAAATTTTAACTAAATTCCTCGTTAAAATTGAATTATTTTCAAAAATTTTAATAAATTTCTTTGAAGGAATTCAATTATTTTCGAATTCTTTGAAGAATATTCATTTATTTTTAATACAATTTTTAACTAAATTCATCGAAAAAATTGAATTATGTATTTAAAAAAATTGTAATAAAACTCTTCGCAAGAATTCCATTATTTTCAAAAAATTTAATAAAATTCTTTCCAAAGAAATTAATTTATTTTTTTCAATGCAATTCCAATAAAATTTTTCCAAAGAATTCAATTATTTTTAAAAATTTTGATAAAATTCATTAGAAGATTTAAATTATTTTCAATACAATTTTAATAAAATTTCTTCATAGAATTCAAATATTTTTTAAAATTTTTAATAAATTCCATGACAATAAATAAATAAATCGAGATTCTCTAGAAAAATTTAATTATTTTCAGTGCAACCTTAATTAAATTTCTAGGAAGAATTAAAATTTTCTTTTGAAACAATTAAATTTGTATTTTTACAAAATTAATTTTTTTCATTATTGTTATAAATTAAAAAGCGCTTCGCAGAAATTGAATGGTTTTGAATATAATTTTAATAAAAATTCTCGAGAAGATTCAATTTTAAAATTTTTAATTAAATTTGTTTATTAGAATTTAATTATTTAAAGTGGTAAATGAAGAAGATGAAAATTCGATCTTGTGAACATTCTACGAGTTGGAAATTTGTTCTTTTATTTTTTCATGCACCCAACTTTCTAATTGTGAAATAAAAAATATTTAATATTATATTTCAGATTTTATTAATATTCTTTTATATATACACAGATATTCAATAATTATTTCAGACTGCGGAATGTATTTAATAATTAGTCTATTGATTTAACTAAAGTAATTGCATACAATAATACAATTATTAAAGCATTGAAATTATTATTATTCCAAAGTAAAGCGAATACTTTCGAGCATAGAATAAAATATAAAGATTGTACTTTTTTTTGTTTTGCAGGAAAATAAACGCATATGAAACACATTTGTACTGTTGCATTTAAAAGATAACACTTTTTAAAATTCTAAATTAACAATTGAAAACAGACTTTCTTAAAATAAATGCAATATTAAAAGTAATACTTAATATGAAATATTAATTAATATTTAAATATTAATTATAACTATTATTATTACATACATAATTATAAAATCTCTTGGAATCTCCTTTATTTAACGACTCTGAAAGTATTTGGCACAAACTTTGGTTACTAATCAATTTAAGCAGATAAATATTATCTCTCTCATTTACAATCTTTCCAATTTCGAAATGTTACTATCAAATTCATTTATAATGTAAAATACTCTAGAACAACGTGTCGGAAAGATTTTTTTCTAAATTTTCAACAGTTTCTCGTGTGTATATAAAATTTTAAAAATTACATTTTTTTGATTTTGAATTAAATGCTTTTTTAAAAAACAAATAAATGCAAAAAGGCGAAAAAAAATTACCATAAAATTGATAAATAAAACAATTGAAAATATAGCCAGGTCAAGAACAAAAAAACAATTCAAAAAAATTGTTTCCTTCGGTTTGATAGAAATCTTGCTGAGTTTTCATTTTTATTTTGTCACTTCGTGAATAGCTTGAGCAAGGTAGTCAACGTTCTTTGATGTAACGCCTGCCATTGAAATTCTACCGTCCTTCGTCAAGTAGACGCTGTAATTTTTCGTCAAATTCTCCACCTGAAATGTTGAGAATTCAAAATAATTAATAATTTTTTATTCTTCAATAATTTAATTAATTCGAATTAATCAACTAAATTCAAACCTCTGCCTACGCTTATTCTGTTTTGTCGATGACGGTAATTTGAGTAAGCAGAGGGTTAATTAATTAATTAATTGAATATTTAATTCTATTTTCTATTGTTGATTTTAAGCGTGGAAAAAATAATCGAAAGTCATTTGCCTGAGAAGCGTTAAGACCAGTGAAACAGAACATTCCAATTTGATCGGTAATGTGTGACCAATCGCGAGAACTGCCATTCTTCTTTAAATTGTCTCTGAGTTTCGTCCGCACTGATATAATTCTATCAGCCATTCCCTTAACATCAGCAAGCCACTCTTGTTTCAGAGCTGAATCGCCCAAAACTTCTGCAACGATTCGTGCCCCATGAATTGGTGGATTTGAGTACATTGGTCGAATTAAGATTTTAAGCTGAGAAAGAGTACGAGCAGCCTCGTCCTTATCTGCACCAACCAATGTGAAAGCGCCCACTCGTTCGCCTGGAGAAATTATTCAATTTTTATTTTTCATTCAATTAAATTTCAATTAAATATTTTACTTAAAATAAATTTAAATACAATTAAGTTACAAATTATGATAAATATTGGTGATTACAGAAATTTTCTTAAAGAAGATAAAAACTTTACCATATAAACCAAAGTTCTTTGCGTACGATTGTGCCAGAGCAATTCGATGACCGTCTTTTAGAAAATGTCTCACAGCCTGAGCATCCTTATTTACATCTCCTGAACAGTGGAAATTTCATTTTAATTACAATTGTTGTCAGTAAAAATAAAATAATTTATCTCAAGTCATTACTATTATTAAAATTATTATTCATTAAAACTATTAATTAAAAAATAATAATAATGTTTCTAAAATGTTGAACGTTCAAATGAACGACGATATTTTTATTACTTCATTAAATTTGAATTTCATTCCAAAATATTGCGTTTTATATTTGAAAAATTGATATTTAAGTAAATAAATATTTAATTATAAAATATTTACATTATTTTCCATTTAATTGAAAGGGATACAACGATTATTAATATAGATATTTTTGAAAATATTACATTTCAAAATAATGAACAGATAAAAATATTGTTCATTTAAACGTTCAAAAAATTTAAGGAAATTAATAACATATACATATTATTTTCACATATAGTGAATTATAATAAATTAAAGAAAAAAACTCAACAGTATAGAGAGAGAAAAAGATAGTCTTACCAGAGGCGAATCCTTGATAAGCCATATCGAAGAAAATAAAAAGATTTCGTTTCTTTATCACATTGGATAATTCCGCCCATTGCTCTGGCTTTGGATCAACTCCTGTTGGATTGTGTGCACAAGCGTGCAATAAAATAACCGATTTTTCTGGAATTTTCTAAACAAAAGAAAGAGAAAAATTAACAATAATTTGTCGTCAATGATAAAAAAAATTGTCTAAAAGAAAAAAATGAGAAAAAACATAAAATTCTTATCTTCATAATAAATATTTTTTTTGATAACTTACAGAAATATCTTCCAAGGCACCCTTAAAATCTAATCCACACGTTTTTGGATCATAATAACGATATGACTTGGCATTTAATTTGGCTAATTTAACTATTTGGGCATGATTTCCCCAGGAAGGCGATGGAAGATAAATATCACGACTATAAGGAAAGAAATGTTCTATAAATTTTGCACCAATCCAAAGTGCACCAGTTCCCGATATACTTTGTACAGTTGAATTCTGAAATTGAAGAAAATAAAGAAAAATTATAAACGACCCTGAAATATAATTCAGGGTTGCCACAAAAATTTAATTTTGTTTTTCCCTGACTTTTCTCTGATTTCGAGACAAAATTTTGACTCTTTCCCTGACAATGAAGAATATTCTGATTCACGCTAAAAATTATTAGATACTCAAAAACAGGTTTTATTAGATTTATTTACGAATTTCTATAATTCTAAAATTATTCGAAAACATCAATAACTTCTTTTTTAAATAAATATTTAATCATTAATATTTTTCCATAGGAATTCAAATTCTTCAAAAGAGTCAAATTCAAACCTTTTTGAAATTCAACAACTTTTAAGAATATTATTATAAAATATAAAGAAATCGATCACTCCGAGTCTTTGACTCGAAGTGATCTTCTTCAAGTTTTATGATAATAATTAAAGATGACAGAGTGATAAAATAACTATTTTATATTATACAAATATTGTTACTGTAACTCCTTCAAAATTATTTTCATCATTTCAATTCGATTATTATTTTCTAGAATTTTTAACTAAAATTATTCTTTAAATCAATTACATATTTTTAATAATTTTTAAAAAAGTTCTTTGAGAATTTTCAAATCCATTTGTTTACAATTCAATTTTATGAAATTTCGATTATTTTAAAATTTTTCAATTAAAATATATTAGAAAATAAAAACAAAAAAAAAATTGAAATAAACTTTTTCAAAAAAATTAATTCTACAGAATTGTTAGTTAAAAAAATGAAAAAATTCAATTTTTCAAATATTTTAATTTGAAACCTTTTCAAAATTCAATTATTTAAAAAAAAAATTTCAAACTATAATGTTTTTAATATTCAATTATTATCAAAAATTTTAACTGAAATTCAATTCTAAATCAATTTTTATCAGAAAATTCTACGAGAATTCAATTATTTAAAGACAAAAATAAATAATTTACTGAATAATAGAATGATTCTTAAAATTGAATACTCATAAAGAATTTTATCAACAAATTTTTAAATAATTAAATATTCTTTCGACGAATTTTAATAAAATCTTTAAGATTAATTTAAGATTAATTATTTATGAAAATAATTGAATACCTGTGAAGAATTTTATTAGAATGTTTGAAAATAATTAAATTTTTTAGAATATAATGAATATTTTAGAGAAATTTTATTATTATATTGAATCCTAGTGAAATTTTTATTATTTATGAAAATAACGAAAAATAATTAAATGTTTGCGTAGAATTTTATTAAAATAGTAGGTAAATATTGAAAATTATTGAATTGAGGGAAATTTTCGAAAGTAATTGAAATTTTGTGAAGAATTTTTATTAAAATTTTTGAAAATAATTTAATTTCGGAGTAGAATTTATGATTTATAAAGATAATTGAAATTTTGAGAATTTTTTAAAAAAATTTTTAACGTAATTGAATTTCTGCGAAGAATTTTATTACTTTTGAATATAATTTAATCAAAACTTTTTGAAGTTCATCTATTTATCAAAATTGTAAACGCAACTCTTTTAAATTAAAAAATTAATTTTGAAATATTTTAGTAAAATTACTTATTAAATAATTTCTAAGTAATAATTTTATGACAGTTCTTCAAGAATTAAGTTATTTAAAAAGAACCTATTGTCAAAAATAGAAAAAATAAAATTGAAGGTTTTGTATTAGAATTTGTGGTAATTTGCTAGTTTATGAGGCAACAAAAAAAGTCAGCAAAATTCAGAATTTTCTTATGAATTCAAAAAATGTAATTTTTCCAGTACTTTTAATAAAAATCCCTAATTGTTCCCTGACCAATTCTACTTTTCCTGAATTCCTTGAATTCCCTGACCTGTGTCAACTCTGAATTTTCTATTTAAAATTACATTTTAAAAAATACGTATAAAATATAATAATATATATTTTTAAATAAATACCAAGCCATTTGGCACTATTGTGTTATCCTCTCCAAGAGCTAAATTAATGCTGTGTTTACAGAATTCCATATTTCCCGAAATAGGAGAGTATTCCTTATCTAAACTTTTGGCTCTCATTTTCTCTTCGGCCTAAAAATAGAAAATTAAATTTAGATTGCTTTCCTTTTAGTAATTCTTCCAGTACTTGATTTTAAGTTATTTAAAATTATTAAATGTAACACACTTTCAGAACACTAGGTAAGACGAAGGGTTTTCCATTATCGTCACGATAAGCACCAACTCCTAAATTGATTTTCTTTGGATTATTATCCCTCTTGAATGCTTCTGTCACACCGAGAATTGCATCCGGGGGTCCCATTTCTACGTGACTCCACCAGGAGCTGAAAAATATTATTCATCAGTTAGGTAGGTAAATAATAATTTTAATTTCGAACTTTCGAAAAATAATTATTGTTAATAGATAAAAATGTTTTAAATTTATTAATTTAGATAAAAAATGTTTTCCATAAAATTGTGATTTTTAAATAAAAGTATCAATCATAAAATTCTAATTATTAAAAATCTACATTAATCTATATTAATAATGTTTGTAAGATTTGCAGAAAAAACAGATAAGGCAAATGTGTTAAATAATCGAATACTGTTACATTTTAATACGTATTTTTTTTCTTGCTGATAATCAGCCTTTGACGAATGAGTTTTTTTTTCTAATAAAGTTAATAAGAATCGATTACATACCTCTTTTTTTGAGACAATACAATCGGAATACCATTTCCAGCGCTTTTGAAAAGACCACCGGACAATGAAAGTGACATTAATCTTGCACTTTGAGCCATTGTTGTTATTTGATGAAAAACTTAATGAGGATAATTAGCAATTCAGGAGAACAGGAAAATAATTTAAAGCACTTCTCCTCTTTAACGTCTTCAATGCCCTTCTGGCTGGAAGAACCAGCCGGCCGGAAATCACCTGACGTCATCTTCAACGGGATATGACGTTTAATTACAAAAAGTCTGTAAAGAAGAGAGAAAAGTTTTTTTACTCTTTTCAAGAAATTTTTGTATTTTTTGACAATAATTGCAATTTAATGATAAATTTATCAATTAAAAATAAGTTGGAAATATAGAAAACTTTTTTTTGAGTATTTAATCAAAATTCAAAAGATACAAAATAGAGAAAACAATAAATGAGAACCACTGTTTACCATTAAGTGTAACATAACCTCACTTTCTTGGTTATGTTCTCAACACGATTGACATCCAAATGATCCAAATAAACATGATTTAAACTGTTTGAATCAATTAATTATAAACAAACGTGGTGGTATATTTATATTTTGATAAGTATTTAAACAATCAGAAATAAACAATGGCAGGAAACGTTGTAAACCAAGGCCGGGAATTGGCTTTTCAAATGTTAAGAAACCTGCCCCGGGTTTGTATATCAAATCTCAAAAATCATCCCGGAGCAGTAAAAAAGGTAAAAATTGTAAATTCTATATAATAATAATTCTATTTAAATATTTTTTTATTATTTACCTGTAAAAAATGATTTTACAACATTAATTACAGTAAAAGTTTTAATAAATTTCATTGGACCTTTTACTATTTTTAATTAATAAAATATCACCTGGAACAAGAGGTCATTTAACCCAAAGAAATAAAAGAATTAATAAAATATAAAATATTATTATTAGTATTAGAATTATTATTATTATTAACTATAATAATCCTATAGGTAATTCATTCTGTCCACACCTGAAGTTAGTTTTTGTGTATTCTTTTTTTTTTCTTTAAAAAAAATTTGTTTTGACAAATCGAAAATATATTTTGTTTATTATATTTATGGTTTTTTATAACAAATTTCGTTTGACTGATCTAAATTATGCAAATTTTTCTCTTGTTTATTTATAAAAAATAGAAAATTTGTTAAAAAATTATGATTAGGAAAAGGAAAAAAATACCCATTTTATGCATAATTTTTATTTCTCAATATCAATATTGTTCACAAACTCATTCTTTTATTTTGGGAAAAAAAACATTACTAGTGTTGCCGCGATAATGGCGAGAGGCGAGACGAGAAAGTATTTTTGTAATTATCGCTAAAACGATACAAGACGAGAGAGGTGTCACGAGAGACGAGAATTCTCGACGAGAATTTTTTTTAAATGGCAAAGTTTTATTCTGAAAATATAGTTACGGTTAACATATATAAAATATGATAGATATCCTTATTAATAAAATCAGATGTCTGTCTGTACATTGCTTAAAACTTCAAAATGTTAACATGATTAGTTATTATGGACATCAGGGATTCCAAAAATATTCTTAAAAAATTTAATGTATGTACGTATGTATGTATGTACGTATGTATTATGTATGTCTGTCACAAAAACTTTGTACCCTAATCACACAAAAACATGTGAATCGATTTAAGTCCAACTAGGTAGGTTATTAGGTATTGACCCAAGGACGGTTTATAAATTTACAGATTTAAAAAATATTAATTAGAACGAGAGATATTCAATTTTTTCAAAAAATCGAAAATTTCAAAATTTTTATTTTTTTATGGATTGCTTTTAAAGTTTCTATACTTGAGTATTACATGTTATTTAGTCACATTTTAGAATAATTTTGAAAAAAATAAAGTTCTTTAACTAATATGTAAATATAAAAATGTTTTCAAAAAATCGAAAATTTCAAAATTTTACATTTTTTTCATGGATTGCTTTTAAATTTTCTATATTTGAGTATTACATGTTATTTGGTCACATTTTAGCATAATTTTGCAAAAAATACTATCCTATAACTAAGATGTAAATATCAAAATATTTTCAAAAACTTCAAAAAATGGAAAATTTCCAAATTTCACATTTTTTAATGGATAGCTTTTAAACTTTCTAAAATTGAATATTATATGTTATTTAGTCAGATTTTAACATAATTTTGCAAAAAATACTATCCTATAAGTAAATATAAAAATAGTTTCAATATTAAAAAATCGATACTAATTACTATGAAGTTTAATTCAGTAGTATTTTTGGAGTCTCTGATTATTATTTTGACGTAAAAATAGTGTAATTGAGAATTATTTATCAAATTAATCTAATATTTTCAAGAACTTCAGAAATATTGAAAATGCAAATTTTTTATGATTAAAATGATATTGCAGGATGTCAAAAAATTGTAAGTCACCTGTGATACAATACAAGCATATTATATGCCACTAGGCAAAAACTTATATGTTAAAACGTTTTTTTTATTTTAACTCTAGATTTAACTTTTAGAGATGTTTTGAGCAATGTAAAGACAAAAGTTAACACGGTGTCTATTTTGTTTAACAAAATATAGGTCTTATGTTAGGTTTTAGCAGTCGTAACGTTTGCGATACAATTAGATCCAATTAGACTCTACTATAACTCCAAAAACTGGGTGGGAAATTTGATAAATTTTTAATATATTAATTAAAGTACTACAAATTGACAAATATTGTTCTCTGCATTTGAATTGGTTAAAATAACTAATTAAAAATTTGATAATAAAAAGTAAATCACTGATTCAAATAGTAATATTTTCCTACTGAAATAGCTAATGGTAACTAATTATTATTCTTTTCCGGTCAAATTAAATTCCTGAGCTATTTCCTTATTTTCCAAATTGGTAGACACACTGTTAAATGTATTGGTAGAAACTAAAACCCGTCGAAGACGGGTATGACAGCTAGTATGTATACTAAAATCTTTTATTGTTTACGTTGCATTTAATAGTCTTTTTAAACAAGATATAAGAAATTATAAATATTTTATATAAATTATATTTTTTTATACATAATATTTAATAAATAAACTCTTTTTTAACTAAAAGTTGAAATTTAATTCATTTTTCAGTGTTTTTGTTAATGAGCAATATTTAACGGAAAAATAAATTTAAAAAAATTGTGAAAATAAAAAATTTGGGTTTGGCTCATAAATTCAGTTTCTTTGCTTATTTTTAAATATTATTGTGAAAATGGGTTCTATATTTATCTAAAAAAGTTAGCAACTTTTATATTTATATTTCAAAAAATTATTTGATTTGAATCAAAATAAGAAAATATTCACTTGAACTTGAACGAGGGGGTAATTACTGGTTAAAATGGTGTACACTCTAATACACTAAATTTTCCTGCTATTACGCGTATTATCTAGTATTATAGGGTATTACAGAACTATCTATTACAGGGCATTACTGATCATTACAGGATATTACCTCTATATTATGTAGTATTACACTGACGTAATAATGCTCTATTACACTCTATTAAGTGACTATTACGGGAGGAGCGTACACGCTAATACCACAAGTAAATACCCCCTCGAACTTGAATGAAATAATTTTTATTTTATTGAAATAAATTATTTTTGAACCAATGAATTCAGAATTTGAATCAAATAAAATTTATTTGATAATAAACAAAACAAGTAATCAGTTATTGGAGACAAAAACAATTTTTTTAATGCAAAAAATAAAAAAATTTGCATTTTTGATTATTTGAAAATAAATTGTAACTATTGTTCAGCTTAACATTTTTTATTCCAATATGGCTAAAATTTTAAACCAGACTAATACCTGAAAGACTACCAAGTCTCACCTTAATCGTCAAGTCATGTTTTCGTAATGTGCCAACAAAATTTTACAGACATATGTATATGACGGGTTCCACATTAAGTGACCCAGGTCAAAATTTTAAATGTTTGGGATCGGGTTAAAATTTTGCAGAAACAGTAGTCCTATTAGATACAATTAAAAATACCAAATATTATTAATTTATTTAAACAAATATTAAAACTGGAGGGGGTCAAAGTTTAAATTTTTGGTCTAACATGGAATATTTGAAAAATTTGTAGTTTCTTTAAAACAAAACGAAAATACGTTTTCTATTTTGGGTTTTTCTGCTGTTTTTCAACACTTTCTAATGGTGTAAACAAATGTAGAGAAAAAAAATGTTAGACCTTGAAAAATTAAATTAAAAAATAAAATTTCATTTTTTCATCAAATGGACAGTTTTTATTTTTTAAAAAAAATTTTTATCATAAAGGTGACGTTTTTTCCTAAAAAAAATGTATAGGTCAAAACGTGGGACAAGAACTTTTAACTGGTCAAAATAAACATTTACTTCTGCAATCCACCGCCCCTGCGCGTTGTTGGGCTGTATATTGTTTATAACAATTGAAATAAATTATTTTATGCTTTATTAATTATCTGGTGGTCATATTGGATGAATTTAAATTGATTTAGATCATGTGCATCAACGAAATAAGAAAATAAACCTCCTTTTTTTAAAAAAGTGTATTAATTTGTTAACTTTGATTTAAAAAAAATTATAAATAATTAAAATCTCCAAAATCTGCCTCGAAGGATGTCTTAAGAATTTATTCCCCTTTAACTTAAGACAAAGAACACTCAAATCGGTTAAAAATTGTAAGCTATAGACATTTTTTAATAGTAAATTGTAAAAAAAATTCCACTGTGGGACGGTGCACGGCAGAAGTAAATGCTTAATTTGACTAGTTAAAAGTTCTTGTCCCACGTTTTGACCTATACATTTTTTTTAGGAAAAAACCTCACCTTTATGATAAAATTTTTTTTAAAAAAATACAAACTGCCCATTTGATAAAAAAATGAAATTTTATTTTTTAATTTAATTTTTCAAGGTCAAACAATTTTTTTTCTCTACATTTGTTCACACTATTAGAAAGTGTTGAAAAACAGCAGCGAAACCCAAAATAGAATGATAAAAAAGCTGAAAAAGACAGAAAAAAGACGAGAGAAAACTAGAATGTGTAGCATTCTCGACACTCGAGACGAGACGAGACGATAATGTGTAATATTTTCGAAACACGAGACGAGACGATAATTTGCCCTATAATAACGAGACAAGACGAGACAGTTGAAATTATCGCCTCGTCTCGTATCGCGGTAATGTTACATTACATATTCCCGTTTCTTAATATTTTTGTAGAAAATTTTCAATTTTCATAAGGGAATAATTTACATTATTTCAATTTTTTAATTACAACTGTTTTAATAAAATTCAAAGTTTTTTTTAAAAATAAACGAAACAAATGTTTATAAATTCTATTTGTCAATTACAAATATATTCATTGAAAATGAAAGTTTTTGAATTTTTCGAAAATAAAGGAAAAAATTTTACTCAAAAAAAAATGTTCCTTCACATTTTTACGAATTTCTTTAATTGTAAAATTATTCGAAAACATCAATGATTTCTTTTTTAAATAAATATTTAATTATTAGGGTAAGTGCGGGTGTAGTCGAACAGAACTAGTAGTCGGACACTTTCGTGTTTTTTGGCAAATAAATAAAAATGCATTGTGATAATTACTTTAAAAAATATACTGGACGAATGTGTAAAGTTTATATTTTATAGAATTAGTGTTATTTTACAAAATAATTAAACAATAAATATTTTATTTAATATTTTAAAAATCGTGGTGTTCGACTATAGATACAACCATTTTCGAGTAGCGCAATGAGTAGCACAAATTTTTGTTGATAATTAATCATAAATATTAAAACTTATAGGATTTAAATATTATATAAATAACTTCTAATTTGCTTTAATTCCATTTTTCAGCAGATATCAATTAAAAAATTATCTGTTTTACTTTATAAATCCAAAATATTTGACAGATGTCCGACTATAGAAACAAGGGAAAAAAGTGTCCGACTACTAAAGCATTCGTAATTTTTTATTAAAATGTTTATATTTTATTAAATACTCAAGTATTTGTAACAAATTTACATGATTTTTAATCCTGAAGAACTCCTTTAATTGATAATGTGCTTATAAACACAGTAGATATTTGTTATTTCAAGAAAAAAAGCATAATATAAGATCGTATCCTTAAGTGTCCGACTACTAGTGCATTTACCCTATTATTTTTCCACAGGAATTAAGACATTCAAAAATTACAAATTCAAACCTTTTTGAAATTAAACAACTTATAAAAGTATTTTGCTGTAAAACATGAAGATATTGATTGCTCCGAGTCGAAGACTCGGAGAGATCGATTTCTTCATGTTTTATAATAATTTATAATAATTAAAATTTTATGAAAATAATTGGATTATTGAAAAGAAATTTATAAAAAAATTGTAAATAATTAAATTCCTGTAAAATTTTGATTATTTTTGACAATAATTAAATGTTTGTCTACGATTTTATTAAATTTTTTTTTTAAATAATTGAATTTTTTCTCGGAAAATTTTATTAAAATAGTAGATATTGAAAATAATTGAAATTAGGACAAGAATTTTATTGTTATTTTTGAAAATAATTGAACTTTGGTGAAAAATTTTGTTATTTACAAAGATAATTTGGATTTTGTCGAGAATGTTTTTTTAATTTTAAACATAATTGAATGTTATAAGAAGAATTTTATTACTTTTAAAAATAATTGAATTTCTGCAATAAATTATTTGGAATTTCTCCAAAATTAAATTATTTTAGTGTTTTCAACAAAAATTTGAATTTAAAATTTTTAAATTCCATTATTTTTAAAATTGCTAATATTATTTAAAAAATAAAGTAAAAAATTGTTGATAGTTATTAATATTAATTATCATAATTAATTAGAATAAAAGAGGAAGAGGACAGCATGGAGGAGACAAACACGGTCTCGGAAATAAAGGTTCAAAGGCTAGACAAAATTATACGCGACCTGGATATGAAACTGGAAACAATCCATTTTATCTGAGATTCGGAAAGGAACCTTACTACAAAGGACATCAGTAATGAAATAGTTTTTCTACTCATTTGAAAATTGAATTACAACACTAAACTGTATTTTTCTGTTCAAATAAGCTGCCAATTAATTCACAGGCTTCGTACTCGACAATTAATTTTTAAAAAGTAGTAAAAATTAGCTTTAAGACTGAAAAAAGTAGTCAAAAAGTAGCTATCGAAAAATTAGACGGTTCAATTTTTTCATAGCTTCTAAATTAAATAACATTCAAAAATAGAATAATTTTTTTACATAAATTTTTAAATGCCTAATATTTTGTACTTAATAAGTGATTTTTCTAAATTTTGATTATGAAATTATTTAAAAATTTATATTTGAAAATAAAAAATTTTATAATTTGCAAAACAATAATAAATGGAATATCACGTTTCGCGCGTAACATTTGCTATTAGTTAAACAAGTAAAATTTGTAAAAATACAAATTCAATTGTTTCGAAGAAAATTTAAATTCGTACGACAAATTTAATTTAAATTGTACTGAAAATAATGGAATTCTTCTAAAGAAAGTATCACTATTTTGTAAAAATATGTGAATTCTATCAGCAAGTTTTGTTAAACATTTGAAAAATAATTAAATTCCACCAAAAAATTTTATTCAAACTTTAGGAAAATTTTTGAAATTGAAATATTAGATATTAATAAAATTTTTATAAATAATTACATTTTTCGAGAATTTTGATTACAATTGCATTAACAATAATTTAAATTCTGCGATGAGTTTTATTATTTATGAAAATAATGGAATTCCTAAAAAGAATTTTATTATTTATGAAAATAATTAAATTTTTGTGAAAAAATTTAATAAGGTTAAAAAATAATTGAATTCTTATGAAGAATTTTATCAAAAATTTGAAAATAAATCAATTATTTCGAAAAGCTTTATAAAAGTTCTACTAGAAATATTTGAATTTATACGAAGTTTATTATTTATAAAAAATAATTGAATTCCTGTTGAAAATGTTATTAAAAGTAGAAAATAATTGAATACTTGTGAAGAATTTTAAAAAATTTGAAAATAATTGAATTCTTTTGAGAAATTTATCCTTGTTAAAAAATAATAATTTAATTCTTGTGAAAAATTTTATTAAAATTTTTAAATAATTCAATTAGGTATTTCGACAAATTTTCTGAAAATTGTACTAACAATAATTATGTGTTGAAGTTAACGATGTACTAAAAATAATTTAATTTAAACGAAGAAATTTATTATTTATAAAAAATAATTAACTTCGTGTGAAAATCTTTATTAAAATTAGTAAATAATTTAATTCTTTCGATGAATTTTATTAAAACCATATTGAAAAGTGTTGAATTATTAGGTATAAAGAAAACTTTATCAAAACTTTTGAAAATAATTGAATTCTTTCAAAAAAATTTTTAAAAATTAAAATTCCATTAAAATAATTAAATTCCTATACAAAGAATTTTATAACCTTTTTTTTAAATAATTAAATTCTTTTGGGAAGTTTTTTTTATTAAAATAGTCACAAATGTAAAAAAAATTTTCCAAATAGTAGGTTTTACTAGATGAGTACGAAGTCTGAATGCAATTCTTATACGATTATGATAAAACCATTGATTTGTAAAGCAAATGACTTTTTTTACAGTCTAAGAAGAGAATATCCTCCGCTATCTTTATTAAATTTACAAAAATTGATTGATACAAATAGATTAGATGCAACTAAACCTATAGATCTTGTAAGTTTAGTTAATACTGGTGTTTATTCTGTACAACCCGATATAAGACAAGCTGGTGTTCAACTTACAGACGAGGTATATTTAATTTTTTGAAATTTTTTATTATTTTTTTATTATAATAATAATAATAACAATAAAACTAAAATATTAATTATTATTATTAAATAATAATAATAATTAATATTTTAGTTTTTAATTTAATTATCATTTTGTTTTTTCTAGGGAATAGAAATATTTTCAGCAAAAATCAACATTGAAGTTCAATGGGCAACGGAACATGTGATTGCTGCCATTGAGAGAAACGGTGGCGTTATAACAACTTCCTTCTATGATCAGCACAGTTTGCAGTGTATGATAAATGCAGAGAAATTCTTCAAAAGGGGTAATTAATAAATTTTACCAATTATTAATTAATAAACTGTAAAAAAAATAGATGAAAAAACAATGAAATTTAATCGAATTTTAGGTGAAGCGATTCCTCGTCGACTTTTACCACCGACCGATTGTCTGGAATATTATTCAAGTGCCGCGACTCGAGGATATTTGGCGGATCCCGAGAAAGTCTCCTGGGAACGACTTGTATTGGCGCAGAAGTACGGTTACACTTTACCAAAAATTGAGGACGATCCAAATTATGAAATGCTCTTGGAAAGAAAGGATCCGAGACAAATATTTTATGGTTTGGCACCTGGTTGGGTTGTGAGTCTTCGAGATAAAGTAATTCTCAAACCAACTGCCGAATATCTCAAAGAATATTATGCAAGTTAGAGTAAATATGTTGATTTTTAATTGAATAAAAATTATCTTAGACAAAATGATGACGAGACATTATTTTTCAATTAGAAAGTTTAATTAAAAAGTTAAAAAGTACAATTAAACATACAATTAAAAATTGTAGATTAGTAAAGAATACATTAGAAGATATTTACAAGTACATTTTTACAATTTGTATAATAGAAATTGACAGTAAATTTTCCATTTTCGAAGTCTCCCCGAAAATGAAATTTCAGAAATGGCAAAATTGCTTTTAAAACTTTTTGAGTTGATATCTGAATTTTATATTCGGGGGGCATCTTTTTTTATTATGTATATTTTCCTTATTCTTATTCACCTGTATAAAAGTTCGCCAATCTTAACATTTCTTGGCTAACGATCCAAAGTTTCATTGCTAATTCGGGATCCATACTCTGACGAGAGGAATCGCAACGATAGCAATTATTGAAATACATACTAGTTGCGCCTTCCAAATCGGAAGCTGTAGCACAATAGACAGACGTACTTGCCGCTTGTTGCTGCAATTAATTAAATAGATTTTGCAATTTTTGTCTAAAGTTCAAGGTATGTAGTCGTCGGTTAGGCGAGAAAAATTAATTACCAATGATTTCGTGAAAGGTCGAACGATAGCGAACAGCAATCTATATAACCATGATTGACGGGGTAAACCCGAAGAAACCATATTGCCAGGATGACAACTAAGAACACCGACAGTTGGCCATTGTCTCGCTAGTTCCTGCGCAAACAAAATATTACACAATTTCGAATTATTGTAGGCAGCCATCTGCCAATATTTGTACGCCGGAGGTGATAAATTTAACGCTTCAATATCGCCCGGCGTTGAGAGGAACGAAAATCTGTAAAATTATACAAATTAATACTTCAGATTTTAATTAATACTAATAACACAGAGATTACTATTTGTGACGCGCTCCCAAGAAAGGTACCTAAGAAGCAAACGAATTATAGGTTGGGTTCGAGTTAGATTTATCTTGATTAAAAGTTAATTTTTAATTATTTGAATTTGAAACCAATATTCATTGAATATTTTGAATATAGTGAAGACTTGAAGACCAACAATTTTTAATTAATAATTGATTCTCTTTCTGTATTTTTACTTACAAAATTTAAAACATAACCTCAAATTTTTTGCTTCTTAGGTACCTTTCTTGGGAGCGCGTCACATTTTTTTTAACGAGAATTTGCTAATTTTTACTACTTCTTTCAGTCTTAAATACTTTTGTTTTTAATTAATTTGATACCGAGATGCCACAAAAATTTAATTTTCTTTTTCTCTGATTTCCAGACAAAATTTTCACTTTTTTTCCTGACCCTAAAGAATATTCTGAATCACTTTAAAAATGATGACGGAGTGATAAAATAATTATTTTATATTAAAAGAATATTGTTACTGTAACTTATTCAAAATTATTTTCATCATTTTAATTCGATTATTATTTTCTAGAATTTTTAACTAAAATTCTTCTTTAAATCAATTATTTTTAATAATTTTAAGAAAAAGTTCTTTGAGAATATTCAAATCGATTTGATTACATTTCAATGTTACGAAATTTCGATTATTTGGAAATTCTTCAATTAAATATATATACGAGAAAATAACTTCAAATAATTTCAAAACAAAATTCAATTAAACTTTTTCAAAAAAATTAATTCTATACAGAAATGCTTTTAATATTCAATTAATATCTAAAATTTTACTTATCAGAAAATTCTACGAGAATTCAATTATTTGAATAAAAACATTAATAATTTATTGAATAATTGAATATTTCTCAAAATTGAATTCTTATAAAGAATTTTATCAACAAATTTTTAAATAATTGAATTCCTTCGACGAATTTTTATAAAATTTTTAAAAATAATTATATTTTTCGAGAATTTTAATTAAAATTGTATTACAAATAATTGAAATTCTGTGATGAATATTATTATTTATGGAAAAAATTGAATTACAAAAAAGAATTTTATTATTTATGAGAATAATTGAATTCTTGTGAAAAATTTTTTTAATATTAGAAAATAAGTGAATTATTGAGAAGAATTTTATTAAAAATTTGAACATAATTCAATTATTTCGAAAAATTTTATAAAAGTTGTAATAAAAATTATTGAAATTCTGCGATACGTTTTATAATTTTGTGAAAACAATTGAATTCTTGCCAAAATTTTGTTAAAATTTTAAAAAATAATTAAATTCCTGTGAAAAATTATCAAAAATTCAATTATTTTCAAAAATTTTAATAAGATTCTTGGCACAAATTAAAAATAACCAAATTCTTTAGAGATTTTCAATTACTTGAAGAAATTTTATTAAAACTTTTATCATGAATTACAATATTTTCGTTAAATAATAAAAATTTTTGCAGAAACTCAATTATTTTCAAAAATCTGAGTAAAATTCTTCACAAGAATTTAATTATTTTCATAAATATCAAAATTTTCGCAGAAATTCAAATATTTTTAAAAGTTTCGATAAAACTTTTTCGTTGGGATTCAATTATTTTGAATAAAATTTAAAAAAATCTTATCGATAAGATTCATTTATTTTGAAAATTTTAATGAAATTTTTCGAAAGAATTAAATTATTCTTAAGAATTTCCATACAATTCTTTATAGGAATTAAATTATTTTCAGTACAATTTTAATTGAATTCAATAAAAGATTTAAACATTTTTGAAAATAATTGAAATTTTCAAAGATTTTAATTTGAAACCTTTTTAAACTTCAATTATTTCTAAAAAATTCACTCTATAATGTTTTTAATATTCAATTATTATCTAAAATTTTTAATGAAATTCATTTTTAATTCAATTTTTATTACAAAATTCTACGAGAATTCAATTATTTAAATACAAAAAAACCGCTGCCAAGTTGTATATTTTTTTTAATAAGTTTGGTGCTCATTTCATGAACACTTTACTTCCTCATGGAGATAAAAATAATAGAAATATATGAATAACTTTTTATAAATATGGTCAAAGTGATTGAATTTTGAGTCAATCAATGTATTTTTGAATACCCTACAAGATAGTTACAATAATTTAATAGTTAAACAAAAATTTTCAAACAAAAAAGTTGAGAAAATGTCATTTTTTACAATTTTTGGTTTTTAAAATACCAGTAATTTCGAAATTTATTATCTAATTAGGTTCAAAAATAGGTCAACCAAAGCGTTTTTTAATGCTCTACAAGTTGATAACGATAATTTTAAAGTTACTTCTACGTTTTTTAACAAAATTTTCAAAAAAGTCTTATTTTCCAAAATTTTTGATTTTTAAAGTTTAATAACTCCGGTTAATTATGGACGAAAAATGTTCAATTAGGGCTCAAAAGATGCGTCTAAAAAAACTCTACAGAATTATGGAAAAACATTTATAGGTGTCCTATCATTTTTTAAAGTTATGGGCATAAAACGTTTTTTTGCAAAATTAAAAATAAAAAAAAATTTAGTTAAACTTTATTAATATATCAGAAAGTACTCTCACTTTATGTCCGCAGGTGAGATCTACAATTTAAAAAAAAATTCAACCCAAAAGCTCTTCATGATTTCGAGATATTTATGAAAATGTGATGTTTACACACACACACATACACACACACACACATTTTTGAACTCCTGAGGTCAAATAACATAAAGATATGTCAAAAAATCGAACTCAAAAAATTTTGGTATTACAATACTTCCTCTATGAGGAAGTAATAAATAATTAAATTTATTGAATAGTTGAATGTTTCTTAAAATTGAATTCTCATTAAGAATTTTATCAACAAATTTATAAATAATCGAAATCTTTTGACAAATTTTTAAGAATAATTTTAAAGTCTTTCGAGGAATTTAATTAAAATTGCATTCAAAATAATTGAATTTTTATAAAGAATTTTATTTAAACTGTTGAAAGTTGAGTGAAATCTTTGGAGAAGTTTTATTAAAATTGTATTCAGAATAATCACATTTTCGCAAAGAATTTTATTACTTATGAAAATAATTGAATCTCTGAAAAATTTTATTATTTATGAAAATAATGGAATTATTGCGAAGAAATTTATAAGAAAAATGGTAAATAATTAAATTCCTGTGACATTTTCATTATTTATGAAAATTAAATTCCAAAAATTTAATTTTTTCCAGTACTTTTAATAAAAATCCCTGATTTTTCCCTCACCTGTGGCAAGCCTGTGATATTTTTCTTGTTAACTAATTAAGGGGTCTTGTAACTTTTTAGCACTAAAATCGGATGATTTTAAAAAATTTTTTGCTCATAAGTTTTAAAATATAATTGATCGAAAGTTTTTACATGTCATTGTGTATGTTAAGAAGTTTTAAAAAAAGGATTTCAGATTGGAAAAAATATATATATACCTTCCTTCTACAGAGGGCGCTTTGTCTACTGGTAAAAATTACTTTCAATTACGGTTGTCACTGTAGCTCATAGCAGAATCATAAATTAAATTATAACAAACATAATTTGAAAATAGATGACTTAATACAGGACCTAAACCTCGAAATACTTAAAAATATCAAAAATTAAAAAAATGGCAAGCTTTTGAATCTAAACATCTGAAAAAACACAATTTTTCTAAACATAAATAATACACAAAAAGTGTAATTTTGAACATTAGTAGTAAATCAGAGGTTTAGGTCCTGTATTAAGTCGTCCATTTTGAAATAAAATTTGATTTTTTGATTTTAGACGATTCTGCTATAAGCTACAATGACAACCAATAATTTTTACCAGTGGTCAAAGCGCCCTCTGTAGAAGGAAGATACTTATGTTTTTTCAAATATGAAATTCTTTTTTTAAGACTTCTTAACATACACAATGATATGTAAAAACTTTTGATCAATTATATTTTCAAACTCATGAGCAAAAAATTTTTTAAAAACTTCTGATTTTAATGCCTAAAAAATTTACAAGACCCCTTAATAAGGGCGAAGGCTAAATTTGAAATATTAAATTTTTGAACTTAGAATAATAGAATAGAAAAGAGAAAATTGCAATTAAAATTATTTACGAATTACCTATGGGATTCGCTGGAAACAATTACGACTCTAGAGCTATCGCAGTAATGAAGTGGTTCTCTCAGCAACAACGTAAAGAAAAATTGAGCCAAATGATTCACTTGAAACGTCATTTCATAACCATCTTCTGTTAATGAATATGGAAGTGCAAATACTCCTGCATTCAACACAAGCATATGAAGACTTCTAAAAAAGAATATTTAAATTGCAAATAACTATCGCCGTAAGGAAAAATATATAGACAAAAAAATATAAAGACAAAAAATATATAGACAAAAATATTATAAAGAAAATAAAATAATATATAAACAAGAAATATATAAACAAAAAAATACGTAAACAAAAAAATATATAAACCTCGAAATATTTGTTGAATGTTTTTGAATATTACTTGTATTTTTGCTTGAAAGAATCGGCAGCCATTTGAACGTGTCGCAAAGAACATAAATCCAGATGTAAAACATCGCAGGAAATATTTTCCCGTTCACGTTCAATTTCTCTGGCCGCCTCTTGTGCCTTTTCCAAATCTCGACAAGCTAAAACTACTCTGCAACCATGTAGGGCCAACGATCTTGCTGTCTCGTAACCTACCATTCAGTAATGTGAAAAAGTAATAAAAGAAGTTACTAATAAGACAACGAAATTAAAGATTAAATTAAAGATCATTACCTATTCCCACGTTTGCACCTGTCACTAGAGCGACTTTTCCTCTTAAATCTCGTCCATGAAGTACAGCAAGAGCCGTACTGCTTCCGTCAAACCTCTGTCGTACCGGTTGTGACATTTCTCGGAATTCTGTCGCAAAAGCTAATCTAGGATCAGTGTATGTTGTCGTTTGATTATTGTGATCGACGAATAAAACTTTTCCGTCCTCGGAAACACACCTTTCCCATCCAGTCGGTAATTCTGTTAAAAAAGAAAAAACGAAAAATTTAATATTGTTTCGAAAAATCGAAAGTCTCTATATTTATGATATTTATATATTCGATAATACAAATAAATACTCCACATACCTCCTTCCACAAGTTTTTTGCGACCAGTTCGAGGGTGTGTCCACTGAGTACCTTTCGTGAAGTGACTAGTTAAATAAAATCATATTTAATATTCATATCTGTTAATTATTCTGCTACAGATATTTATGGGACAAAAACTTAATTGTTTATTATAGTGAAAAAAATTGAACTTAACCTATTTTATGAATACGATGCGAAAAAACAATCTACCTGCTCGTAATTAATTATTTCTCAAAGGCAAATAATAATTGACAATCAAACTTACTTTACGTAATAAACATTTCCATCAATTGTTGCTCGTTCTTCCCATCCTGGAGGTAATTCATCGTCACTATCAGAATCATTTAAAACACCCACCATATTTGTTTACTTTTTTTTGTACGTACGTCAAAAATGTCAAGGGCGTCAAACATTCAATGATTTATGATAAAAATTGTTGTTCAAAAGTCAAGACACGTAAAATGTTATCAAATAAAAAATGGACTTGACTACTGATTAATTAATTGCACTTGGAAAATATGTTTACAGCATAAAATTGTGCAAAATAAAAAATTTTTTGTAAATATTTTTAAAGGGTTCTTTGATTAAGACATACGGTCCTGAAATTGATTTGTTAGGTTATGTTCGTTGTCAAAAAAAACGAAAAACATGATGTCTGATAATCAAAAGGATCATGATCATTATGTCATTATCGTCATTATCAATCAAAAGTCAAAATCGCATTTTTAAAAATTAATTCACAAGTTTATAAATAAACTTTAGTGTTCCTAATTCATCAATTTAGTTAAACTTTAGGAGAAAATGGTTTTATTTCTTTCATTAGCCATCGTATTTTGTTTACCGGTCTTATTTCTAACCTATGAAATTATAAATTGCTAAACAAAGTGCTAAATTGGTCGACTATAATAAGTAATAACAAAAGAAATATATTTTAACAGTATGATTGAGTATGATACAATTTTTCAATTAACACTACTATCAAACTGAATATGAAATAAATTTCTCTGCGATTTCGGATTCAACACGAAAAACTCCAATTAAAAAAGAAATACAACGGGTATTTTTTTACCTGGAAAAATGATAAAGACAAGTAATCGGGCTTGTACGGGGAGCAAGTCAGTAAAAAACAGATGTAAACGATGTGGTAAATTATGTGATCCCTACGAAAAGCCTGCTCTACAATGCGTTGGGAATTGCGCGAGAAAAATACATCTTCATTGTCTGAAGAGAAAGAGTTTTCCCAATTCTTTTGTCGGCGATGTTTTTTTCACACTCACATGTTCCGATTGTGAGCCTTTTGGCAATGAAGTTCTAGTCAGAGATAAAATGTCCTGGTCGCAAATAATTGTCCTCGCATTGTACAATTTGAGAGAAAAATCCAGTGGAATCAGTAAAAGAGGATATTTCCACTGGAAATCTGACATCAGTACGTTCGTCGATCGTCATTGGGATTATTTATTTACGAAACAAAAGTAAAATTTACTTTTTTATTTAATATATTTACTAAATATATTTGAATATGTTTTAAAATACTTTTTGTGACTCAACTTTTTTATTTCAGGAGACAACCGAAGCAATGGATAGGAACGATTTCCGGTACCTTGTCACACAATACAGGAATTTACTTCAAGTCGGGTTCGTCCGAACTTGGAGAAACAGGCTGGTGGAAATTGATTTCGAAAGAACCTCCAGAAATTATTATGCACTGTAAATTAATTTCTATCTTAATTAATTCATCCTTTTAGATTCTATAATTTACGATTTTTAATATTTATACTATTTCTATTACTTTTAGCAATCATAGCAAACAAAATGGAAAATAAGACCGAGGAGCATCCCGTGCATATAGTTAAAAAGGAGAGTGTGAGTCCAATACCATCGGAATCGAGCACTTCTCTAGGTGACGATAGTAGTTACATTGGAGATTCTTTAAAGAATTCGAAGAGTTTATCACCGCCACATTTTAGTGAAATTCTTTCCGATTTTCTACTCACTGAAGAAGATTTACACGGTAAAAAAATTCATTTAATTTAATGAAAATTTCAAGATAGAAAATCATTATAATTTTAAGTGGATGTGCGAAAATTTAATCATTTTAGAGAATTTTTAAATTCTAATTGAATTTAGAATTTAATTAATTTAATTTTTCTTAATTTAAATTAATTGTTAATTAATTTAAAAAAAAGTTCAATTTATTCTTTTCAAACAATTTGATTGAATTTCAATTATTTGAGAAATTTAACTTCTTTAAAAGTCAATTATTTTTAATAATTTTCCGAAAGTCGTTCGAGAATTCAATTATTTAATTACGAAAATTTAATTATTTATAATTGTAACTATACATCTCATTTTTTAAAGTTAATAAGGTGAATTATTAAAAACATGAAACATAAAATATTGATAACAATTAATTTTTAAAAATATATGTATAAAAAAAGTATTCGAAAAATTAGGTTTTTAATGATATTTTTAACTAATTGAGTTGAATTGAACAATAATTTTTTAATTGAAAAATCTCCAAATAATTAAAATTTAATCAAATTTTTTGAAAATAATTGAGCTCATTAGAAGAATTTTTGTAAAGTATTAAAAACTAATCAATATTTAAAAGAAATTTGAATTAAAAGTTTTGAAAATGATTATTTTCTTCAAAATTTTATAATTTCCCTTTTTTTGAAGATAACTGAATTTTAAAAAATTATTATAAAATATTTTAAGAATTACTTTTTAAAAAAATATTGTAATTTTCATTTTCAAGTTTTGAGAATGGAATTATTTTCAAAATGAACAAAATCTGATTTTAAAAAATTTTTATGAAATGCTTTTGAAAAATCAATTATTCTTAATAAAATTTTAAAAAATTTCAATTATTTAAAGGTTTTTAATTGCATATTTTAAGGATTGAATTTGGAATTGAAAAAATAATTCAAAAATAATTTTTGTCAGATAATCGACTTTTCAATTATCTTTAATTGAAAAATTTCGAGATAACTGAATTTTAGTGTAAAATATTTAAAAGAATTTAATTTTTTTGAATCAATTTATGAAAAATATTAAGAAATAATTTTTTAAAGAATTTTAATTAAAAATTTCAAAAGTGAATCATTTTATAGTATTTTTAAATTCTTCTGAAAAAGTTCAATAATAATTCAAAAAATTTTAATTATTTAGAGATTTAAACTTCTTTAACAGTAAATTATTTTGAATAATTTTCCGAAAGTCCTTCGTGAATTCAATTATTTAATTGCGAAAATTTAATTATTTATAATAATTGCAACTATAAATCTCCTTTTTTAAAGTTAATACGGTGAATTATGGAAAATATGAAACAGAAAATTTTGAAAATAATTGATTTTTAAAAATATATAAAAGAAAATTTTCGAAAAATTAGGTTTTTGATGATATTTTTAACTATTGACTTGAATTTAATAATAATTTTACAATTCTTCAATTAAAAAATCTCCAAATAATTAAATTTTAATAACATTTTTTGAAAATAATTGAACTCTATAAAAGAATTTTTGTAAAATATTAAAAACTAAACAATTTTTTTAAAAAATTTAGTTCAAAGTTTTAAAATTGATTATTTTCTTCAAAATTTTATAATTTACTTTTTTTTGAAGATACCTCATTGAAGTTTAAAAAATTATTATGAAATATTCTAAGAATTACTTTCTAAAAAAACTATTTTGATACAATTTTTTTGAAGCTAATTTTCTTTAATTTACATTTTCAAATTTTAAGAATTGAATTATTTTCAAAATTAACAATTAAAATTCTTTAAAATTTTATTTTAAAAAATTTTTATGAAATGCTTTTGAAAAATCAATTATTATTAATAAAATTTTACAAAATTTCAATTATTTAAAAAGTTTTTAATTGTAAATTTCAAGAATTGAATTTAGAATTTAAAAAATAATCGGATAATTGATTTTTCAATTATTTATAATAATTGAAAATTTTTCAGATATTTGATATTAAGTGTAAAATGTTTAAAGCAATTAAATTTTTTAAAGAAATTTATTAAATTTAATTGATTAAAAAATATATGAGCGGATGGGAAGAAGAACTCGCCGAGCGCGAGACCGTAAGGGATAATATCAGTCAGGTAGCAGTGAGCACCTCTGGGCCACACACTGCTACCTGACTGGAACTATCCTTTACGGTCTCGCGCTCGGCGAGTTCTTCTTCCCATCCGCTCATATGATTGATCTAAAATTTTAAGGATCAGCCTAAAGCAAGACATTTTTTAAAAGTTCAGTACCGGTCAAAATTGAGAGACCACCCATTTTCAGGGTAATGAAAAATATTTTTAAACATAAAATTTATGAAAACTAAAATTTTTTTCGGTATATGTTTTGATAGATGATAAAATTTTGAAAAAATAAGACCTTACAGAAGTCATTTGGCCTGTATTTTATTTAGATATTTTTAAAAAATCGTCAATTTCAATGTTTTACAAAAATTTGAATAACTTCTAAAATTTCTAAAACTTGGACCAAAAAAATTCAAAAAATTTGAAACAATTTTTCTGTATACTAAAAACTATTCTAAATAATATATTAAACATGATATGGTGTAGATTTTTCAAGAGAATTTAATAAAAAAAATATGTTTGAATTTTAAAAATTATTTTTCTTTTAATAAGATTGTTTCAAATTTTTTGAATTTTTTGTATCCAAGTTTGACGACCTGCATTTTCTAAGAAAAAAATTACACTTTAATGCCTATAAGCCAAAACTTCTGTAAGGTCTTATTTTTTCAAAATTTTATCTCTCAATTTTGACCGGTAGTGTATTAATTACCTTTTTTTAAAGATAATTGAATAAAGAAATGATGATACAAAAATTCAATGAATTAGTTTATTTAAAAATACACATTAATAAAATTGTAATTTTTCTAAAATAATTTAATTTCTTAAAAGAATTTTTTGATAATTTATGTGACTAATCAATTTTTTTTTTAACAATTTTACATAAAAATTTCAAATATTTAAATACTTTTATAAATATTTTTCTACATTTAAATATATTTCAAAAAGTTATGTATCTTCAGGAAGAATCTTACGGTGATTTAAAAGAAAAATAAATCCACAATACCATAATTTCATATTTTCAAATAGAAAAACAAGTTAAATTTTTATTTTGTTTTCTTGATAAGCTAAAGAATAATAATTTGGAATTTCACAATATATTTAACTCTCCATCCGTCGCACCTTTTTTTGTAACGCGATCCGTCGCAGGTGAGGGAAATTCTCACCCTCATAAATTAGTCTAAACTTGTTCTAAAATGCCAAATTTTTTTTTGAATGTTCATTAGAATTTCTAAACAACCTATTGGCAGTAAAATTAACTTTTATTTCCTGTTAATTATTTAAATAAAAAATTAATGACAAATGAAATCGAGTATACGCGGTCAGTCGCATGGTGAGAAGTTCCCTCACTTCCCGTCAAAAATCCCCGACATTTGCTGCTTTCAAATTCAATAACAAAGAAATTAAAATATAAAAAAACACCAAAATTGTTTTAATGTAAAGAAGAAGAGTGCCGTAAAAGGTACTGAGAATATGAAATTATAATTTTTTGTATTTTAAAAGTTATAAATAAAAAAAGAAACTGGGTGAGGGAAATTCTCACCATGCGACGGATGGAGGGTTAATATTATAATTATAAAGAATTGGCAATCTTTTTGGGACTATAATAAGACATCTCGAAACGTTAAGATGTGTTTAATGTCTTATTATAGTCCCAAAAAGATTGCCAATTCTTTATAAATAATTATAAGCTAAAGAATTTAATTTTGATTATTTAATACAATTAAACGTTGTATTTGAATAAAAAGTTTCAATTTTGTCATTATTAAGAAACTTTTGTTAAATTTTATGTTATCGAAATTTTTTGTTTGAAATTTAGTTTTTATTCAAACACAACTTTTAATTATTCAAAATATTCAAAATTCAGTTTTTCGCTTTTCTACTAAAACAAATTTGAAATTTAATTTGCGTCTTTATTTTAAATACGAACTAATTCTGTAATACTGTAATTTATTATAAATTATAAATTATAATTTAACTGTAATCATATTAATTTTCTTTGTATTTAAATAAAAATAGATATGGACATGCTTGATACTGAAGATGGAATCGAAATGGACAACAAGCACGAAACACTGTCACTAGCAGATCTGATAAGAAATTTTCGAAATCAACACTGTCAACCGGATCAATATAAATCGGAAACGTACGATTTTGACTATGAAGATGAAAAGACAACACTTGACAATTCGGACGATTTTGTCGTTTGCGATGACAACAAGAATAATCCGGAGTTTGAACAATTTCCCGAGGACAGTTCCGACAGTACCGATTTCATTCAACCGCAAGTTCAACCCTCACTGTTCACCACTTCCGAACAACGTCCGTGGCCTTGGGAGAAAAATTACAGTAGCATTCCGTCAGGTGAGTCGAGATCACGAATTAGTGAACGTGAGGAAACTTATCTGCTGCAACGACTGAAGAGAAGTAATTTAGCCACGGCGCCTCCATCCGTTAAACGACTCTACAGGAAATTATCGGTACGAAAATTAAAGAGGGAGTACAGTTTACGAATTTTTGACGTCGATCAACTTGGCACATCACACATGGCATTAGGAGTTCACAATAAGGGCAGTCGAATTTTGGATCGATTTGTGAGTCATTCGAAAATTGGTAGTTTCGAGCAAAGGTTGCAGGGAATCAATGAATCGGCTGCGGTTCATAGTCCTTATACTAATAGACTTTTGAAGCCATTCATTCGAAGGGACACAACGACAAGACCCCTTTGGCTAAAATTGCAAGACGAACTCTACGCGAAAACGAATGAGAACAATTTCAATAGGACAATTCCGACGAAAGCGCCGATTGATTATTCTTACATTAGGCCGCAGCATATTCCTGCTTTGAATAGTCTTTGTAATCAGTTCTTTTGGCCTGGAATTGACTGTAAGTATACGAGGCATTTGTTTTGACGCAAAATTTAATTTTCTAACATGAGAATTCATTTTTATGGAATATTCTCAGAATTGGATTTTTAATTCTGTTTCAGTATCGGAATGCTTGCAGTATCCAGATTTCAGTTGTGTGGCTTCGTATAAAAAATTGATAATTGGTTTTGCAATAATGGTGCCAGATGTGGCGTACAATCAGACGTACATTTCGTTTTTCTTGACCCGACCAGAATGGCGTAATTCTGGTATTGGTACTTTTATGCTCTACCATCTAATTCAAACCTGTATGGGCAAAGATGTCACTTTACATGTTTCCGTCACAAATCCCGCATTAATTTTATATCAAAAATTCGGATTCAAAGTTGAAGAGTTCGTACAAGATTTCTACGATAAATATATTCCACCGGATTCCAGGGAGTGCAGACATGCCCTCTTTTTGAGATTATGTCGTTAGTTATTTTACAATTAAAGAAAAGAAACAATGACACTCCGTCACAAAATAATTCGTAAGTACAATTGCGCTAATTACGATTATAAAGTACAATTATAAAATATAATTATAAATTAAAATTACAAGGTTGCCACAAAAATTTAATTTTGATTTTCCCTGACTTTCAGACAAAATTTTGACTTTTTCCCTAACACTAAAGAATATTCTGATTTGCTCTAAAAATTATTAGATTCTCAAAAAAATGTTCTATTACATTTATTTACGAATTTCTTAAATTGTAAAATTATACAAAAACATAGATAACTTCCTTTCTAAATAAATATTTAATCATTATTATTTTTCCATAAGAATTAGGATTTTCAAAAATTTCAAATTCAAACCTTTTTGAAATTCAATAAATTCTAATTAGCGATAAAATTATTTTATATTAAAAGAATATTGTTACTGTAATTTCTTCAAAATTATTTTCATCATTTCAATTCAATTTTATAGAATTTCAGGTCTCGGATCGACTTTAAGGTGCAAAAAAAGTCGATTTAAAATAGAAAAAAAGTCGAAAAAGTCGTTTATTTAATTCGGTGTCATCACAAAAATTTTATTTCTTATTCTTCTGATCTTTCACTGATTTCTAAATTTAAATATTTAAAACTTCAATAATTTCGTTAAATAAATATTTAAATACTTCTTGCTTGTTTTTATACGGGAATAAAATTTTGAAAATGTCTATTTAAAACCTTCTGAAATTTAATAACTTCTAAAAATTACAACTTTAATTCTTTTAAAATTCAATTATTTTCTACAATTTTTAATCAAACTTCTTCTTATGAAATCAATTATTTTTAATATTGATTGTTTTTAGGATCTTAATTTTTGTGAAATAAATGTGTTTATATTGTGACCTTGGGTCCTTTGGACCCAAGGCCACAATATAAACAGATTTATTATTTAAATACAAGAATTCAGTTCTTTATAACAATTTTAACTGTCCCATGTTTTTTAAGTTATTAATTAATTTTCAAAAAATTATAATAAAAAAATTCTTAAAATTAATTTTTCAAAAATATTTTAAAAATAATTTATGAAAGATAATAGTTTTTTAATTATATAGAATTGAAAAATTTCCAAACAATTGAAATTTGGTAAATTCTATTAAAAAAATAATTGAATTTTTAAAGAATTTTAATTATTAATATAAACGCGATTCCTCTAAAATTTTAATAAATCTAAAAAGTCATATGTTGTTCAAATGTTAAAAATAACTGTAAAAAATTTTAATGTTATTATTTTTTCTATGTATTTGAATTTTTGAAAATTTGTATTTAAAAATATTGAAAACAATTGAATTTTAAAATATTAGAATGCAAAAATTCTGAGAATTATTTTTACCAAAAATATTTTAATATAATTTTTTTGTAGCTAATTTTCATTAATTACCATTTTTTAAATACACTTGAAGATTTTTCATTAAAATTTTTGAAAAATCAATTATTATTTTTAAATTTTGCAATTAAAATTCTTTTAAAGTTTATTTTCAAAAAATTTTATCAAACACTTTGAAAAAAATCAATTATTTTCAATTAAATTTTACAAAATTTCAATTATTGAAACTCTTTTTTTTATTGTTACTTTTTAAAATTTATTTAGTAATTTATAAAAATAGTTGAATTGTTTCGAAGAAATTATTAAAAATTTTAGGAAATAATTGAATTTTATGGAAATATTTGAAAATATTTGAATTCTTCCGAGAAATTCAATTAAAAATGTTTTGTTATAGTCAAATGTATGAAAAATTCAAATTTTCAAAGATTTTAATTCTTTCCTCGAATTTTGTTAAAACTTGCATGAAAATAATTACTTTTTTCGGGGAATTCGATTACTATTGTTTTAAAAATAATTGAAATTCTGCGATGAATTTTATTATTATTAAGAAAATAATTGAATTCTTGTGAAAAATTTTATTAAACTTAGAAAATAATTCAATTATTTCGAAAAATTTTAAAAATAATTGAATATTTTAGAGAAATTTTATTTGTATAGGAAAATATTTAAATTCCTGTAAAAAAAATTTATTATTTATAAAAAATAATTGCAATCCTGTGAAAATTTTTATTAAAAGTAGAAAATAATTGAATTATTGTGAAGAATTTTTTAATATTTGAAAATAATTGGATGTTTTGAGAAATTTTAAAAAAATTGTATTAAAATAATTGAATTTCTGTGGAATATTTTTTTATTTATAAAAATAATTAAATGTTTGCGTAGAATTTTATTAAAATAGTGTGGCGTTCCAGGAGGAATTTACTACTTTTCGGAGCACCTTCACCGATTTCTTCAAAACTTGGTAGTATTACATTTGTTGGTCTAAAGTTTCAGAAAATCAATTTTTTAAGTAAAATCAATTGTTTATTTAAAAGTTACAATAATTGCTCAAAATTGTTTAAATGCCGATATCTTTTAAACGGTTCAAGATAATTGAGTTTACTTTTTTGCTAAAAATTCATAAAGACGAGACGCTTCAAAAACGTTATTAACATTTTTTCTTATTTTGTTAATTAAAAAAGTTATTTAAATAAATAAAATTAACTTTTGAGCCGTAATTCAAAATTAAATGACTTACGAACCAAAAAATTCCTTGTTTTGCATACTTTTATATTCCGAAGAAAAAAAGTTGTTGGAGTTTTTCAATCACTTATAATTTAAACAATTATTCGTTTGTTTACAATTATTTTCCAGCTCAATGATCATCTGTTCTCTCTTGCGCGCGACTACTGCTACGTCACGTCCGTCTGTCCCAAAATATATATATTTGACAAGCGTGGAAAAATTGAGGTTATGTTTAATCAAAACAACGCATTTCAGTCTTTTTAAAGTTTTTAGCAGTCATGGAAAAAAAGTTAAATCGTTAAATATAGGATATCAATATCCTGACTGCCAAAAACTTTAAAAAGACTAAAATGCGTTGTTTTGATTAAACATAACCTCAATTTTTCCACGCTTGTCAAATATATATTCTGGGAGCGACGGATGTGACGTAGCAGTAGTCGCGCGCAAGAGAGAACAGATGATCATTGAGCTGGAAAATAATTGTAAACAAACGAATAATTGTTTAAATTATAAGTGATTGAAAAACTCCAACAACTTTTTTTCTTCGGAATATAAAAGTATGCAAAACAAGGAATTTTTTGGTTCGTAAGTCATTTAATTTTGAATTACGGCTCAAAAGTTAATTTTATTTATTTAACTCTCTGCTGATGCTAACGACCGTTATCGTCAAAAATCGTCATTCTGGACGCCTGGTGGTGACTATGAGAGTTACGTGCTTTGACGATAGAGTGGGGATAAAAAAGCATCAGCAGAGGGTTAAATAACTTTTTTAATTAACAAAATAAGAAAAAAATGTTAATAACATTTTTGAAGCGTCTCGTCTTTATGAATTTTTAGCAAAAAAGTAAACTCAATTATCTTGAACCGTTTAAAAGATATCGGCATTTAAACAATTTTGAGCAATTGTTGTAACTTTTAAATAAACAATTGATTTTCTGAAACTTTAGACCAACAAATGTAATACTACCAAGTCTTAAAGAAATCGGTGAGGGTGCTCCGAAAAGTAGTAAATTTCTCCTGGAATGCCACAGTATAGATATTGAAAATCATTGAATTGAGGATAATTTTTGAATAATTGAAATTTTCCAGAGTTTTATTAAAATTTTTGAAAATAATTGAAGAATGTTATTACTTTTGAAAATAATTGAATTTTTTAACTAAAATTCTTCTATAAATCCATTATTTTTAAAAATTAATTAAATATACAATATTAAAAAATTTAACTAATTCCAAAACGTCATTTTCCTAATGACAGAAAATTGTATATTTTATTTGAATGCAAATTTTAATTGTTTAATCGGACAATTAAACCGTAAATATAGGTTATGTCTTCTTAATCGGATAATTGAAATGATTGAAACGATTGAAATATAAAATCTGAACGAGTCTATTATTTTGAATTACCTTTTAATTTATCGCCACCCGATAGATATCAGTTGTGTTTCATTTCCTTGTTTCCTTCAAACTGCTTCTGAATACTTTTAAATCACTGAGTATAGAAAGAAACGTATCGAAGTTCGATAACTAACCAACATCACAATGGTTCTTCAACACTGTAGTATTTCCTTTTTTTATTGCCTATAATCTCAAGGATTAATAACTTCTCCCCGATGTAAGCCCTCCAAGAAAGTATATTTAATCAAAAAAATCAAGAAATACCTAAAACAATTGTTAAATATTCAAATATTTTTAGTAAAATTTCGCTTGTTTTGAATACGAGAGTGACGTCACAAACACTGCGATTAAGCGTGAAGTTATCATCGAGTCTGTTCTCGAAAGTTCCGGAAGCAACTAGAACCCGCTCTCTATGTATATATGGTGTGCAGCGCCCACACTACCATTTAGTACAAGAGAAGACGTGAGAAGTTGAATATTGTTTCTTTTCCAATGTGTTAAAAATATCAAAATTGAAAATTTTCTTGTGCGATTTGTAAAACAAATATAAAGGAAAAATTTCTATTGTGATAATAAAGAAAGGTTAGTGATTGAATTTTGACCTTTAACAATCAATATGGTGTAAAATAAGGTTAGTTTTAACGCCTTTTTCGAGCAAAAATTGGAGTATAAAATGGATAAAATGAAAAAAATGGTACACATAAGATGATGATGATGTTGGTCACGTCATAAGTAAAAGCGCGCCTCTCAACTCGATCTCGAGCTTTCTATTATATTTTATCTTTCGTGTGGATTTATTTTTGAATTATTCGAAATTGGTGTTCTCTGTTCACGATAGTTTCTTCTTTTTCTCTGTCAGTGTATCATCATTGCTCGAAATAGCGGAGAAACTTATGTGGGTGTGTTAGGTGGAAGACTTGGTAGAATGAGATGAAGAGAATATTTCCGAGCAAAAATGAAAATATTAAAGAGAATTTACGAGAAATTTTCATTGAAAAAAAAAAATCTGTTCATTGTTTTTAAGAGATCATGTAATGATCCTAATCTCCTGAGATG